CAGCTTCCTGGTCAACAGCTTCCTGGTCAACAGCTTCCTGGTCAACAGCTTCCTGGTCAACAGCTTCCTGGTCAACAGCGTCCTGATCAACGACCACCATTGGGCTCCGACCAAGCACAAAAGCAACTTCCCGGCCAGCAGCAGCCGCAATTTCCTGGCCAGCAGCAGCCCTCCACTACGGGTGCAGGACAACAGCAACAGCTATCCACCGCTGTTCCGCAATCCGAAGGCAAGCCCACCACGACCGACAGCTCGGCCAAGCCTGTACGCTCCTTGAACCCCAAGAGCCTCCCTTTCAGCCCACGCAAGCCTCGTGGAATGCCTGTCAACGATCCTGAAACACCTATCAAGCCGCCGGTATTCAAGCAAGGTGAAAATAACCTCGCGTCCGGCGCTCAAGATGTCGAATCCCAAGACTGGCCATCGCAGTTGCGGTCAAGAGACCCGTCTTCTTCGGCATCCGCTAGAGACCAGTTCTACGATGCCGCGGAGGGTTCTTCAAAATCTTCTTCAGAATCTTCTTCAGAAGATCTATCAGACGATGGCTCCGTCTTTATGCTACCCAGTCAGGCCGAACACGACTCGGACGAGTCTGATGGTCTGTCTAGTGATGATGAGTCTGATGATGAGTCTGATGATGAGTCTGATGATGACCTGTCTAGCAAGGATGACAACAGCCAAGTCGTTGTTGGTGACGGTGAGCCTGGTGTTGGTGCCAATGGCCAGCAAATCGAGTACATCGACCTTGATGATTATGTACCGAGCGGGCAAGCACTAGCACGCAAGAAGGCTCGAGCTGACAAGTTTGAGATTCGTCTCCAGGCTATTCGCAAGGATGCCACAACAACAAACACGGCCCGAGCGACTTTCGCTCCTGTGTTGCTTGACTCCGTGAGTTCGTTCACAGCGGCCGCAGTGAACAACAATCAAGAACACCCTGATGTACTCAACACTCCATTACTCACCGAGTACTATCCTCCAGGAGTCTACGTCCATGAGTTACTGAGTACGCGGCCCGGTGATGGAGTCAATTCTTGGGCGACAGATGGTCTCATCGATGCTTCCGTGACTGTTGAGAACATGTTTTACCAGGACGATCTTGCAAACAACGATCGAACCATTCCTGGTGGCTTTTACATCCCGATAACCACATTGCAACGATACATACCGCCTTTCCATGCGACAAACGAACCAACCTGGGACATGTATGTCAACCGAGTCACCACAGACTTGGTTGTTCACAACTCTAGACTGATGCAAGATGAGTCATCGACGGCTTTTCCCTTGTTAGACGTTCCAGCGGGAACCACCAGAGTTGTGTCCGTCTTGCATTTTCCAGACCACTGGACTACCTTCTCGATTGATCTGCAAGCTGGACGAGTGACGTTCATAGACTCATTGCCGAATGCTGCCCGCAGAGCATTTGCAAGCTCTGTTCTCCTGCAACTGGCTCAGCTCTTGGAGATCACCTTGGGCTTTTCCGTCGATGAGTGGACTTTTGAGTGCCTCGCCCCGTCCCTTCAGTACAATGGCGAAGACTGCGGGTTTTTTTCAATCGCGAACGCGATTAACCTGTTGCGAGGCCAGGCTCCAGACCCAGTCCGGTTCAATCGAGCAAGCTCGGAGCGTTACGCTACCCGGTGGAGATGGACGATACTTAGGAGATTCCACACGCTCCTTGGCTATACACCTCCTGTCGAGGAACCTCCCATGCCATTGCCCAGAGATGATGTGGTTGACGACCCAGTGCCCAGTCTTGAGGTGCCTTCAACAGTTCCATTGCTCGTCAAGACCGAGCGATATTACCAGAGCTCGCGCAGGGTCGATCAACGCAGCAGTCGTATCAAGCGTCGAGCAGGGATCAAGACTCTCGACCTCTCTGGCGAGGTCTCTCCGGGCTCGATCTATCCGCACCTTGTTGCAGGCTTCCGTGAGATCATCTGGAACATCCTGTCATCTGACAGATACGCGGATGGGTTGACCATTCAAGAGTTGACCTCCGCTGTCGAGGTCTCTATGAGCACCGCGAATCGTGACGTTCCGGAAGACTTGATCGATCTCCTCAACGGCATGCTACTCAACTCTTTCCATCATTTCACGCATTCAGGAAAGACTCTGAGGTGGTCACTTTCACGGCTGCCAGGCAGAACTCTCAACACCACCTTCTACAACCTTTTACGTTCTTCAGAATCAACCGCCCCGCTCCATAAAAGCACCGACCCGATCACTACTCGGCCGATGTTGACAATCATCGCCATCAGATACAGCGGTAAACTCAAGAAACATCAAGAAATCCAACTCCCCACGAGATTCAAGCGTGCCATGGACGCGGTAGACGCGTGCTTCAACCCATCGCCGTCGTACTCGACTCGAAAGTATGATCCGGAGCATCCGCGTTTCCCAAGCTATGTAGAGCTTCTCTTACCTAACGTGAGGGGCACTGAGACCCTCCTCTCAATGTTCCAATCGGACCCTAAAGTCACCGACGCATTGCAACAATTGACGATGCAAGCAGCCTCTCAACGAAGCAAACCAATCTACCGAGTCGTCCAGTTCGGCCTACCTGGAAGCACAGTGAATAATGACAGTTGGGAAGAGTTGGTCAATTACTATGAGCAACTTGATGGTGAGCTGCTTGTTGGTCTTGGACCCAGCATCAGTACCAAGGCTGGTCTCGGTGGATTCATAGAGGAATCACTTCAGACTTCAAACTTGCTAGACTGGTTCCAGCCTTTCTGCCTCTTGCCCGAAGACACATTGCCTGTCAATCACAGACATGTGTTATGGGGTCTTTACAAGATCCCCGTTCTTGCAAGCCGTTTTCCTCTTTGGTCTGGCAGCGTGCAACCTCCTGTGGTCACGAATGACCCACGTCAAAGAATGCGAGTGCATCTTGAGAATCTGGCTTGCGACAAGCTTATCTTTCTCAACTCCTTGATGTACTACTCGAGGATAGACTCTCGACTATCTGGTAATTTTGAGCATCATCAACCGCTGATCGCAAGCCAACTGTTTGTCGGCGCTGCTCTAGGATCTGGAGCCGGCGGCCGTAACGATATGGATCTTGGTGCCTGTGTGCCTAACAATGAAGACATCATTCGCTTCTGTCGATGGTGCCGTGACGACATCACAGGCCATGTGTGGGGTCGTAGTCTTAAGGAAGCTGAGGACGAAGATGAATCCTTGACCGGCTTCCTCTGTGACAAACAGGAATGTCAGTTCAAGGAGCTGGAGCTCATTCGCCAACTTGAGGCTCAAGCTTCCACCAACTCAGACTCCGATGGGCACTCGCCGAAGAACAAGAAGTCGAGAAAGTCTCGAGATGACAGTCCAGATGACAGTTCAGATGACTCAAGCGACAACGACTCTGATGGTGATCAAGACAACTCCTACAAGTGCAAGGTCGGATACCCCATCAAGAGGTATAAGGACGAGGTCATCCAGCGAAGACGCCTGTTCGATGAATGGATGCACGATGACGAAGGCGACTTTAAGATTCTTCATCCCTCAGACTTGACAGTCGCACAGTGGGAAATGCTGGCGAAGACGTTCTCATCTAACACGAGACGGAAAGCCGTGAGTCCTGTGTATCAATGTTGAATTCATGCCACTAACAATTGACAGATCAACAAGAACATGGCCGCCTGGTCCCTCCGACACAGGAAGTTGGCACACCCAGAGCACCAAACCGGCCCTACCATCGTGAGATGTCGTCTAACCAATCCGTACAGGCAGGCAGAGGAGACTACACGCGGCGGGGCTTCGACCTTCGTAACCACTCAATTGATTGACGAGATTATGCATGACGAGCAAGGTGAATTCCGTGACCCTCGACCATTGTCAAAGGACGATCTTGCCAGAATTCAGAAGTCCTACGATCCACTGTCAACCAAAAAGGACGGCAAGCCCAAGTATTACGATGTGAGTCAAATGATAGTCTATCGGTGTTCGCCTTGACTGATTTCGGTGTACAGGTGGGTCAGGTCAAAGCAATGGTCAATCGACGTATCGAGACACATAAGGCCAGGCATGATGAAGAGAAAGCGGATACCACAACCAAGCAGAACACATCGACCACGAAGGCTCCCTCTAAGGCCAAAACCGGTTTCCACGCTTCTGCTTCCAAGAAAACTTCTTCTTCTGCGGCAAAGAAGTCTTCCACAGCTAAGACATCTGCTTCCAACAAAGCTTCTTCTTCTGCGGCAAAGAAGACCTCTTCGGCCAAGACCTCTGCTTCCACCAGAGACACTTCGACTACAAAGAAGACCTCTTCGGCCAAGACCTCTTCAACCCACAAGTCGGCGAAAAACGCGACCACGACCACGACGAGGCCCCAATCTGCTGGTCCTCCTCGTCCTCAATCCACTGCTCCTCTTCCGCCTCAGCCCGTTGCTCCTACCCAGCCCGGAAAACCTCTCACCGCAGCTCAGCATAGAGCAACTCTGGAGTTAAATCAAGCAATCGCTGCGGGACGTGTAAGTTTTTTTCGTACTGACATGGTTAACTTCGTACTTACGCAGTGTACAGCCAGCCAGATTGAATGCAGCCAGAAACAAAGTCGTCTATTACCTGTGCGAATACACACCCCTGCATCCACGTTCCATTAACGGGGAGAAGGTCTTGGACGCGACTGAGAGACACATTCATGACGATAGAGGTGACTTCTTGTCCCGCCAGTACACCAATTCCGAGCTCATCGGCCTTGCCCGAAACAACAACGGCAGCACTTCGGAATATGCTATCAGACAAATTCGTAACTGGATCGAGACACACAGGGGCTTCCATGAACGTGCGAACCAAGGAGCCGGGCAATCAAGCGTGGCGCCTCAGCAAGCCGCAACTACAGTAGAGCACGACGGTGGTGATTCAATGGACGTTGATGAAGGTGAAAATGGCGAGGACACTGAAAAGATGAAGGAGGAATGATGTGTGATTTGAGCTCTGTGGAACAAGGTGCTTCAAGTGCAATTCAGAGATCAGTTAGCTAGACTCAATGTTATTCGGCTTTCCAAGAAATCACACTGCAATGTTGAGACAGCCAATGCTTTGCTATTGACTTTGGTTTTCTGGCACGAACGTCAATTCAAAGGTTCGTTCTCGCTCTTACCAAGGTATGCGAGCAAACGTACGGCTAAATTACGGATCTGAAGCACAGTCCGTAATCTAGATTCCGGACGCTCGAGCCAGTCTTGGCAGGAGCTCAGCTTCTGACCGCTGCTCATGAATCCCAAAATCTTGCCTGCCAAAGATAGATCCTTGCTCTACACTGTCAATCAAGCGCTCACATCTGCAACAATGTCGTCTTCTGAGCAAACCTTCATCGCCATCAAGGTATGTATACCGTGCTGCTTAACAACAAAAAGCTAACGGCCGAAATGCCCGACGGCGTGCAAAGGGGACTTGTGGGCCCGATTATCTCTCGCTTCGAGAACAAGGGCTTCAAGATGTGCGCTATCAAGTAAGTATAAAAATCCAGCAGTTGCAGACGGTTTACTGACATGTCAATGTAGGCTCAGTCAGTCCCCTCTACCAAGTTCTGTCATCCAGGACTCATACTAACACGTCAATGCAGCCACCCCTGGCCAGGAGCACCTCGAGAAGCACTACGCTGACCTCAGCGACAAGCCTTTCTTCAGAGGTTTGATCTCTTGTACGTCAATCCCAATCTTTAGGAGCTATACAGCAGCTGCTTACAACATACCACAGACATGAGCTCTGGCCCCATCTGCGCCATGGTCTGGGAGGGCCGTGACGCCGTCAAGACCGGCCGTACCCTTCTCGGTGCCACCAACCCCCTCGCCTCCGCCCCCGGCACCATCCGTGGCGACTTCGCCATTGACGTCGGCCGCAACGTCTGCCACGGTTCCGACACCGTCGAGAACGCCCAGAAGGAGATTGCTCTCTGGTTCAAGAAGGACGAGCTCAACTCCTGGAAGCTCGCCCAGAACGACTGGATCTACGAGAAGCCTTAAATGTCTCTCAAGAGCCTGTAGATACACAGCTGGTAAACAGCACCTACAATCAAGCTAAAAGATTCCGTCTCACATCGTGTCCCTCAAAGTGCAAGCATGCATGAATGATTTTGAGATTTGCCTATACTTTCCTCCTATATCCGTTTGCGCCGATGAAACTCCCTGGGTATCCGTTTTGCAACCACCCCAGCCTTTAATGCATTGTCCAAGAATTATCTGTCCCGCCCTGCTCATAATCATGCCTCAGAGCCACCGTTCAGCTGCTGTCGAAACTTCAATGCCAGATTTTGTACTCCACTTACCAAGCTCTCTCCAAGTGCATCCACTGCTCCCTTGGGACTCAACAAGCTTGGCGGCACAACCTCGCCAGCCCGAATCTTGAACAATCTGACGTTTGTGCTGCTCCAGATACCGCTTCCAGAAGTCGACGCATGTTGCAAGTCCTGGGAGACAACAAGACCCCAGTAGAAAGCCGCGTACGCTTCCGAGAAGGGAGCTGTCATGGGGAACGTGTGGATGTTTCGAGTCGTCGTCTCCACGGAGATATGACCCAAGTTCCTTACTGGTTGTAGCACTTCATCCATGCCCAGCCCGTCTACAGCTTCTTGGCTGCCCTCCATACCTCTATCCTCCAACAACTTCGCTGTCCATGCTTGTAGCGCCAGGAGCAGCGACAATGTTGTGAGAAGAGGCATTTGTGGTACCCACGTTCGGACCTGTGCTTGGTCAGTACATAATATACCACATTGGTTGTGCAAACATACTATCTCCATGTCTGTGGTTGGTGAGGTCAGCGCTCTTGCCTTTTCCTCTTCGAAATCTGCAGACTCCTTGCCCTTTTCGGGTTGTTTACCCACAGCCCTTGAAGATACCGAGGGTTGTTTTTCTGCGACATTATCTCCGTTCGGTGGCGGCATATCATCTACCGGAGGCACCACGGGAGATGTTGCTGGATTGTAAATATCACGAAGTTCTAGCCATGTGCGTCCCCTGCCTAGACGTGGTCGAGGAGCCTTGTCTTTGTCCAAGTTGGCTATATCACTAGCCGCGATCAAGGGATGGAGCACAGTGCCATCCGGACACAACATAGGCTCGATGATACCGCTTTCGCGGATCTGCTCCATCACTTGTTTGAAGCTTGGATCGACCTCCATTCTGAGGTCCGCTAGATGTTCAAAGGTAGTCCCGTATTTCCAGATGGCCCAGAGTAAGTTCTCGTTTTCTAATATATACCTGTCAGTGTTACTTCCCAATCTAGTCAAGTGTAACGAACCTGTTCCAGGTTTGTGTTCTTCCAGCATCGAGTTGACCGCGCGGACCATGTGAGTCAAGACCATGGCATTCATCTCGACGCTAGTCGATAGAGAGTTTCGTGTATACAGGTCCACAAGTTGGATCAGTTTTAGACTTGTTGCTCGGCCAAGGTGGGAAATGTATGGAGACACATTAACGATAATTCCGACTAGCGCAGCAGCCATGGCGTCCAAATGGCCATTTTTATTGGGTCTCAGAAGAGTAAGTAGCCACTTGAGGTGTGTCAGTATACGGTGGGAAGCAAGGGCGCGCTGTGTAACTTACAGTGAATAGATAGTCGGCATAAGAACCGTGGAAATTCTTGATTTGCATGAACGACGGAAGATTATCATGACCCTCGAATTGCTTGTTCAAGGAGATGGCGTACTCGGGATTCTCGCTCATTGTCTGTACACATAGCAGACTCACTCGTTTTACTCCTTCTACATTCTTATTAGGGTCCAAAATATAGAACAGGAGGAACACGGTCAGCTCGAACTGGCGACCAGTTTCACAGATGAATGCACGGAAATACTTGTTCGAGTATAGAGACTCCCACAAGAGAGGGATGATCTCATGGGCCCAGACAAGGGGTCTCTGTACAATGTTCAATCCGTTACTGTTTGCTTCGAGCGGCTGCCGCAGTATTTTAAGTATTCCGTCGGCTAGGAATTGTAGGTGGGTTGCTTTGTGGAGGTGAGAAAAAAGATCACGGAACCGGTTGTCTGGTGGAGCAGAGCCTTCAGCCCAAGGTGCTCTGTTGAGAAGATTGACCTGTAGGAAATGGAGGCAAGTGCGAACATGGGTTTCATGCACCTCTCTAGGTGATGGTGAGAGATAGCGAGCGTCGGGTTGATACTTCAAGACTGTGTTCAAAAGCGAGCACAGGAGGTATTGGACCTTCTTGCGATCGTGATGATTCGAGATGAAATCAATTGCCTCACAGCCAAAAGTGGTGAAGGCGTTAGCAGGCTTGTAGATGCATTTGCTCTCAAGAACCAGAAGAAGTTGCATGATCTCAGTCCTCCTGCTCTCAAATTCTTTGCTAGTTTCCAAGCGTCGCTCGTAAGCGATTCCACTTTGCCAAAAGCCATAAGTAGGACCGTTTTTGCCGTTCATGTTGATAGGGAGTGTGAAGCCTGACCAGAAAGCCAGATCCAAAAGGGTGTCAATGAGCTCGACTCCGAGGCATCTCGAGGAGTCGCGGTGTGAGGAGCTGCCCGAGTGGTCCAGAGTCTCTGCCGTGGTGGATTCACCAGAGATGTTTCGGGAGATGGTGGGGGGAGACAGCTTGTCTGTGGGCTCCCAGAAGAAGGACTGCTCCCAGGCGGACAAGCGATCACACTCGTAGACGAAAGGGAGGACGCGGGTAAGAGTGCGGACGCAATTAAGAGCCTCACGAATAAAGGCAGCAGCATCTTTTTCAAAGAGAGAGTCCTCGGCCCAGCGCAGGTCGATCAAGTGAAGAGACAGAGTCAGAATCAAGGTTTCGAAGTTCTTGAAGGATTTGGGGTCGTCGCGCATTGTGCGCAGGTCGGATGGAGTAATGGTCTCGAAGACATGTTCGGCGGTTTCTGGTCGTTGCCAGAACTGGATCAGAAGCGCGTCAGCAGAGGGCTGGCGGTAAGCACAGAGGAATTGGCGATAGTTACAGTCTGCCAGAATTCGGTCAAGGTGGGGGGAATGGCAACATCGCCGGATGAGGCCTGGACAATGTTGGACTTGAGGTCACTCTGGACGGCGCCCATGGTGCAGGGCGGGACGGACGTGTCCTGACAGGCTGGGCGAGCTGTCCAAAGGTGCAACGGCGGCTCTAGATAAGGTACGACGTGACACCGGTCTTGCAGGTCGACGAGGTGGTCAGCTTGTCAAGAGCTAGACAGTAAGACAGCATGGACAGGATAGACTGACAATCAGCATTTGAGAAGCGTGACGTAGCGTCTTAATATCCAAACATCCGAAAGGACCCTGAACTTCCCCGAGGGCTGCTTCCCGCGGGCCAGCCCACGAGCCAAGACTTTTGTGCCCGCCTGTCAAGCGCCCGCCCGTCCTTTTGCGACAGCATCTGTTGTCTAGTCGGTATTTCCAGAATCTCATCAAAAGAACTCGTCTCTTTTTGATCGCTAGAACTGCCTCAGCAACAAGCTCTTTCCAAAGCCGTGGTTGCCTATCAGCCACAATTTGCTGAACGCTCCTTCCCTCCTTCAACCTGTCATAGTTCTGTTCACGCCATCTACCTCCACCAAGCATGGACCCGAGGACTACTCAAACATCCAAAGCCGATGTTGGCTTACTCCTTGCAAAGGGCAAGCTCGTTGGCTGTCTGACCACCGGTCAGTCCAAGAGATCTACTCTCGATTCCTCCGATGTCAACAACTTCCACAATCTGCTACAGCTCGCCTTGAACGACTCCACTCGCTGCACCAAAGAGGTCTTTTCCGAGTTTTCAATCTTCTAAACCGCATCCATCGCTAAACTGATCCCAGTTCAAAAAGTGCACAGCCTGGATTGTATGCCATGTTGCCAAGTCGCGTCGCAGGGTTGCTGCTTTTGGAGACTATCTCCTGAAACTCTCCGATTCTTTGCTGCCACCAGACATCCACTCTGATTTGGAAAAGTCTGCCCTATCACGCGCGCAAATTGCTTTGAGTCTACTTCATTTAATAGATGCCATCTTCTTCCGCATTCATCAAAACCCAGGCCGACTACTTCGCAAGCCGCTCGAAACCTACTTAACCTTCGCCAAAGCTATCGAGCCCACTGTTTTTCAACTTGTTTCATCTGCTGCTGTCAGTCGCGGTATTCAGGGTCTTACTCTTCACCAAGATCTAGCTTGTCTGCTCCATCACTGGACTCAGGAGCGCCTGTTCACCAAGCGCATACGTCTTGAACTCCGCAATATCGCACGACAAGCCTATGTCGGGTGGCTGCATTGGACAGCAAGGGTTCACCCGTCATATTACGACAAGCTGATCACGAGGATATTTTCCGAAAATACCGAAGATGACATTCCAGATACACATGGCCTACCAAGGGATGCCTGGTTCGACCTTCCAGTTGGAACCATGGTTCATGCAATGAAGACCACGAAACCCGGCAACCCTGTGAGGACGGGTCAAATTAAACCGCTCGAAATGCCCACTGCTTCAATCGACCCTGACATGATGCAAACAGTCCTCGATCACATTGAGGAATGCAAGGACATCGATGCATTACCCAACGTATCTACGACAGCGGATGACGACGAGTTCGTCCTTAATGGTCTGGGCCTTCGGCTAAGCAAAGATTCAATGAGCAACGAAGACAAGCCCAACTACAGAGTGGTCGAAGGATACTACGGCTTCAGTGTGCCTTTCATGAAAATCTTCCAGAACATTGAGAAGAATCCATTCACTGGACCAGAGCGCCCACAGAACTGGATGCCCCCACCTCCGCCCGAAATGGCCCAGCCTCCGCCTTTTCACACAGGTTTTCCACCAAACGTGCCACCACCGAACAGGGATGTATCGCACATCGTGGGCTCCAACTACAGGCAAAATGACTATGGCCGGGGGAATAATACAGGTTGGCGAGGTGATGAGATGCAAGGCGGGAGGGGAGGAGGGAACTGGCGAGGACGAGGCCGTGGTTGGGATCGTGGTAATGGTGGCGGTGGTGGTGGCGGTGGTGGTGGTGGTTATAGGCCATACTAAAGACCAAATCATTCTTGCTCCTTCATGGATGAGGTTCAACCTCCACGGTACTGCTTTGCACCGCGAACTCCCGAAATCATGTTCAGATAATGACGAGTAATGGTCGCAAATTCCTTCCAAGTGTTGCGCTTGATACCAGCCGAAACAAAGTCAACGTCTTATTCGTGGTACGTAGTGAACACCGCAATTCTACCCGCACAGAGATGTTCTAGCCATCTATTGGTGGACTGACCTCTATATACCACTGAATCATGTGGGTCATGTCAAACTTGCGATCAAACGCTCCGAAATTGGGTATTCTCTTGAATATGCAGGGCTCAACAATGGATATAAGTGGCTCGAGCCAATAATTATGGAAATCATGACGGCGGAATCACCGAGGGGAATGTCTTTGACTGGCATAGTATTTGGGTTGTACTCGTTTGGAGAACTTCAAATGTGCTTGGAGCCTGCAGATTTCGCTTCTGCTTGATTCTCGGTGTCAAAGTGATTGAGTTGGTATGAACCAATATGGAATGTTGAGCACAACACCCTGTGATAGTGCCTCTTACTACGTCCGGAAGACGGTATGTGTTGCACAGCATGCTATTCCCAATCAATATAACATATTTGACGTTTCTTAATACCGTTTCTTGTCTTTCTTCTTCCGTGTCTATCCAATGTTGGTGTGGTGTTCTCTTCTCAAACGTTATGTCTTTATGGTATCTATGTGTCTCTTTGTCTCCAGTCATACTCCAAGAGCATTGTCTAAACAGGTCTGAATACTTCCATGGACGTCTACAAGAAGTAAGACGGAGCCATACAAAGCTAGAATGGCCAGGTTCTTATTGCACGATATCAATATGCTTCATAAAGCTGCATCGAAGTGACAATTCAGACTCAATCGTCTCAAGACAGCTGGATATCACATCATGGACATTGCCGGAGAGGAGCAACGTGAAGCGATCGAGGCCGCCTTGGTTCTCTTGTCTATGGCGGATGCTGTGTGGGATCCAGCCAAGCCCTCAGATCATGTCAATGGGACTTCTGCGCCTGAGACATCCGTCGATGATGATATGCTTGAGGCTGCTGCGAGCTTACTGTCATTGCCAACCCACCCTGTTGTCCATGCTGGTGACCAGATAGCCTCTGACTCTCGGTCAACACAGTCTGTGGGACATAACGATACTCTTGAGCAAGATTCATCTGCATCTGCTGCTCCTGATCTTGCTTCTGATGCTTTAGATGCCATTCTTGACGCTGGTCTCGATGCTGGTCCCATCGCTTCTGATGCCACCTCGGACATAATCGATAACCCCCAATGGGCTGGATTGACTGCTGACCAGCAGGCAGTTCAGCAGAGCCGCCTCGACATGACAGCCTGGCAACGTTATCAGCAAAACCTTCAAGCGTATGACCACGTCAACGCCCAAGGATCTGTCATCGGTCGCTTGTGGCAGACAACTACCGAGCGCCGCACATTCCGCCAGAACCAGCGTCGTAGGGGTGCGACTCTCCTGCGTGCTGCCACTACGAGGGGTAGGTCGTTCTCGAACAGGCACTCGAACGACCAGAACTAAGTGTGGTTCGACGTGTTGACCCGCAAGATATGCCTCTATCATATTGCTTGCCCACGTCCATCTGAACGATGGGCACGTTGCTCTTGTCGATCGCCGGTCCCTTCTTATCTGACAACTGCTTGGATGACTCGTGTATGCGAATTGTGGAAACGCTATGGTGTCCATCGAGGATCCGGTTCCGTTCTTCTATCGTGATGACATGCCAACCAGCGCCTTTGTTTCGTCTGACCCTTGCCTTCATGGTCTCAAAATCGCCGGTCTTTTCTTTTGCAGGCGAGCGCGGAGCATAAAAGAGGCTGGTGACACTCTCTTCCTCTTTCTTCTGCCGATTTTATGATCAGACCGCAACTCTTGAACACTGCTTGCCTTTCTAGATCAAGGTCGAGCGGTTTGATTCATAGCAACCATACAAAGCAGTTTCTTGACCAATTTTGTCAAGTGTCCATGTTCAGCTTATTGAATTATGTGTACATGTATGTCGAGTGCGTGATGTTCCTAAGGCATTTCAGAGCAGCAGTATCTATTCTCCAGCAATGGTGCATCGTATTCCTGCATGTGGTAAAGCTTGAGTTGTCGCATATGTGAACAAGGTGAAGTGGTCGATGATGGATTGAGGTGGCTGGTGAGCGCCAAGAGAAAGTGCTCCGTCATCGCCGTGGCTCGCCGCCGCCGAATTGGTAATCACCATCGCGTTTCTTCAAATCACCACGAGCACCCAACGGGGCACAAAAGTTTTCGTGTCAGCTTGAGAAAAGAAGACAGATTCGACTGCTCGCATTTAGCGCCATAAAGCAAAATGTCTCTTACGAACGTCAATGAGATTATCCTCGTGCTTTCAGGCAAGGGAGGCGTTGGAAAATCAAGTGTGACTACACAGCTTGCTCTTACTCTATCACTCAAAGGACACTCGGTTGGCATACTGGACATTGATTTGACCGGACCTTCTATGCCTAGATTTCTTGGTATTGAGTCCTCGAAGGTCAAGCAAGCACCGGGTGGCTGGCTTCCTGTGCCTGTGCATGAAACCAAAGACACGACTCCGGGCACGTCAGACAACGGCAAGCCCATTGGACCTCTCCACTGCATGTCACTGGGATTTCTTCTCGGCAATCGAAATGATGCAGTGGTCTGGCGTGGACCAAAGAAGACAGCCATGGTCCGCCAATTTCTTTCAGACGTTCACTGGGGCAAACTGGACTATCTCCTGATTGATACACCTCCCGGTACCTCGGACGAACATATCTCGCTTGTTGAGACCCTCATGAAGAACGCTGCTCCTGGTCAGGTTTCTGGAGCTGTAGTTGTGACTACTCCACAAGCAATCAGTGTCTCGGATGTGAGGAAGGAGATCAACTTCTGCAAGAAGACTGGTACAGAAATCCTGGGTGTCGTAGAGAATATGGCTGGCTTCGTATGCCCTAACTGTGCGGAATGTACCAACGTCTTCTCGAAGGGCGGTGGACAAGTCATGGCCAAAGATTTCAATGTTCCTTTCCTTGGCAGTGTACCTATCGATCCGGCCTTCATCGCTCTTATCGAAGAGGGGAAACGGCCAACTTATCCCGAAGGCACCGTTGTAGCTGGTCAGGAAATGTCTGAACAGACAGCTCTGTCTGAGAACGACACTGGATCTTTGGTTGAGAAATACCAGAGTTGCTCTCTTTTCACAATCTTTGATGGTATTGTTGGTCAACTACTTGCCAACACTCGACCCTGAACAACGCCCAACCAAAACGTCCTAGATTGTTTACAACAATCTGGTCCAGCATTTTCGGCTTCATCGGCTAGCCCTTTTTCATATCAGAGGAATGCTATGCGATTCGGGCCGAAGACAGACAGATTCCGAGAGGCTCACCCTTGCATTTCTGGCTGAAGGCCATTTCGGTATGCCGGCGGCAAGAAATCACATGGCTTGCTAGCTGCATCGATTCCATACGGCTATACGAGCTTTGGCCGAGGAATCCTTGCAAAGCCCGCATTTTGTGTGTGGTCGTATTCGTATGGGATCACTCCGTTTGATGAACACGAGTACCCTGCATTGGCGTACCCGAGTACACTACCACACTTCAAATGCCTGAATTACCCTGATGGTACCACAAAAGACGACCATGACCAATCACGAGTAGAAGCACGAGGTCTGCTTCGTCTCCAAATGCCTGGCATGATGAAGTCTGCATGCATAGGACACTTGATGAGCACTCTCTGAAGTTGACACCCACTTGTGCCCGCGTACATTGACCCCAACAGGTCCTTATGCGACGAGCTGGCTGTGTTTGTTTTGATCATATAGCATGCTCATACCAAAGAAGGCTTTCTCTAATTTGACTCAATTTTCCAATCTCTTCTGAGATCGTTGGACGGCCAACATATATCCATGGCATTCAACTTATCAATTCTATCCCGCTTCAGATGATTATCGAAGATTGCTTTCCATTGTTGGGTCAACATGTTGTTAGGAACCACTTTCGTGCCGTTAGTTCTGCAGAACACAACACAACTCCTTCCGACCAGGGCTGTGGACAGTGAGTGACCCAAAAATATGGTAATGTCAATCTAATCTGATCCTCTCAGGCGTTTGCCAGAGTTCCACGATCGTACTTTCCGTGTCATCTACGGTAATTACTGCTGCCGATGACACAGTCTCCACATCTTATACTATCTTCCCAGTCGATCATTACACCTCAGAGGCTTCTGGGCTCTCGACAACGATTAGTCAATTGAGTACCGAGACGACAGGCTCCCACAATGATCCTCACAGCCCAGATATAGCCACAAATACCTTGAGCTTTTCAGGCTCTTCCATGATACAGAGCCGAGGTCAATCATCGTCAGAATCTTCGCCATATTTTGTCTTTTCTCCAACATTGACCAGTGCTTCACCCATCATAGGTGGTATGAGTTTGTCAACCACTTCATTATCTGCGTCACTATACTTTTTTGGTTCAAGCTTGTCGAGCCAAACAGGATCCAGTGCTCCTACTGGCACGCTTAATGGCCTTACGTTTGTATCACAATCAAGTATGTCGACTGTGACGGAACAGGCTACCACGGCAATAGCTAGTCCCACCAGCTCAGCCACTGCAATGGCAAACTCTGTCTACACATGTCCCAGAGATAACGGAATGTACTACTCTGATACCACTAATCGGGTTTACCAGCTACTTTGCAATACTGATGAGCCAGATGCAACTATTAGAACGACATATCAGCCACAACTACAGTCCTGCGTCGATGCCTGTAGTGACGTTGAAGGATGCATAGGTGTTTCATATACCGCAACCTCCAGCTCATGCTCCTACAAAAGCAGTGCTTCCGATCTTGTGAGCTCTGAAACTTCCGATTCGGCCATTGCGACAGACTATATCTGTCCTGGTGCCGATGGTACTCGCCTAGTGGATACGACTGGATCAGTATATGAAATCCTCTGCAATACAGTTTTCCCTACAAGCAGCAACATATCCTCGAGCCTGGCAGTCAGCAACTTGGCATCTTGTTCTGAGATATGTTCAGGTATCGATGACTGCTCGGGCTTTACATTCCAAAATGGATCATGTACGACAGTCAGTTCCAGGAACTCTAACGATGGAGTTACTCGAATGAATGTGGAAACCGCCATTCTGTTAGCGAAAAGAGTGGCACAAGTTGTGTCGAGTGGTATCGCTCCGTACAGAAGCACAAGTTTTGTGCAATCCCTCCCCGTCGACATCTCCCGGACTCCAAGTACGTCACTCCAGTATGTGTCAGCTACTGTTGCTGCATCCAGTGGCACCGTTCAAAAACCAGGAGGAACAGATGCAGTAACCTTGACCATCAGTTCAGCGAACGCAGCACCCACAACAAGTACTCTTGCACTACCACCAAGCTCGGCAGATGTGTTGCCATTAAGTAGTGGCGCGGAGTCGTCATTCACTCTGTCAAGCAAAGCGGCACAGGATCAACCGGCGAGCTCTACGATTCTGAGCAACCCAGTCACGGCAAGTACGATTACGATTTCTGGTACTTTGGTTGTCCCCACTGCGATCTTGACCAGTTCAGGAACCTTTGGCCCCAGCATAAGCATCGACTCTAGCACATCAACAAGCATTCATTCATTGGCGATGAATGATCTATCAACAATTACCAGTCGGTCGCCTCAAGGACCAACAGTAGTCTTGAGTTCAACGCTTCTTAGTGCTAGTCTAAGCTTTTCTTCGTCCACCACATCTCGCGCAGAAGCACCAACGAACACGGCATTGCTTCCAAGTGGTTCACTTGTCATTACCCGCAGTGGTGAAAGTGTGATATTGCGCCCAACTTTAGCCACAAGCCAGACATCTTCTTTGGTTGTAGGTGACTCATCATCCGTTGGACCGTCTCCGATCACTCTATTGTCTGAGGGCACTCCATCTTCCGACGTTGTGCTCTTCTCCACTGTCAGCCCTGTTCCTTACTCGACAGTCAGCGCGGTTTCGTATTTTGCTGCGCCATCTAGTCTACCTCCTGAGACCAACTATTCCTGTCCTGAAGCCAACGGAGAGCAGGTTCGAGCCAATACCGGAGGTTCATACACTATCGGTTGTAATGAAGAAACAACAGGCTACAATGCCCTTGTGGCTACTGCTTCGGATTTCAATGACTGCATGACCTATTGTGATCAACTCCCTGGCTGCACCGCGTGGACCTATAGTGGCAGCTGCTATTTGAAAACGGGAACTTCTGCTTCCAACTTCTCCTTCCAACCGTCAAGTCGGGGTGCGGTCTCTGGTATCAGAGCAGTACCAGCTACAAACTCGGGTCTACCAGGGAGTAGTCCAACAGACTTTGTCACTAGTTCGTCCACGTCACAAGCAACAGGTTCCGCAGAACCGAGTGATGGCGAACTTGGTATCTCAGCGACAGCATCAGCAACGCTACCTTCAAGTGTACCATCATTTGCTGAGGGATCCACTACTATAATTTTTACTCAAGCGTCTTTACAGAGTTCTGAGGACCTTCCACGAAGCACAAGCGATCGGGGTATCACTACGCAGTTGCCATCCTCTGTGGTGGACACTTCGTCTGATCTGGCCTCAGAAATCACGGCAGCGGCGATTACAAGCGAGTTTGGGGCGACTTCTGGAGCCACAGCCAGTGATATAGGATCCACTGCTGTAGGCGGCGATAGCGCAGCGAGCCTGTCGTATATCACCTCAACTATCTTCCCAGCTTCTGTCACGAACATCATAATCCCGGCTACCACTGCTAGTACACCTTCTCTGACCGACCCCATGTCTGCGTCCATCGCAATTGCATCTCCATCAACCACCTGCTCCGTCTTCGACAATCTGCTCGACATATGCCTCGATGCAGTTATTACGCCCTCTGTTGGCATTGGAGGTGCAGTCAGTGTGGGACTTGGGAGCATAACAGTCGTTGATGCATCGACAAGTGTAGGAATTGCGCTTTCTGCTGCTGCAAGTGCAAATCTCGGCATATCTGCCGGAACAGGCGGTGTTGAGATTGGAGCAAGTGCCAGCATAGGAGTCAGTGCTGGCATTGATGGCACGCAACAGCCTACCATAACTACCTCTATACCCTCGTCATCCTGCTCTGCTGGCGGCAATGCTTTCGATATCTGTGTAGACGTTGCTATCACTCCCTCAATCGGGATTGGTGGTAATGCAGGCATTGCTGCAGGTAGTAGTACCATCACGCTATTTGACGTATCAGCCTCTTTGGCAATCGCGCCAACCTTAGCAGCAGGTGTTGGTATTGGCATCTCGACTGGTTCAAGCGAAATAGCCTTAGTAGCGAGTGCAACTCTCGAGGCAAACCTCGGTCTCAGTTCTGGAATACTGCCTAATAACACAGCTCCGACCACGACTGCGAACTGCTCAGCTGGTGGTAATGTCCTCAATGTATGCGTCGACGCAACCATCACAGCATCTGCCAACGCTGGCCTTAATCTCAATCTTGGACCCAGCAGCAGCGCACTCACTCTGCTGGACGCATCTGTTGCGCTTGCACCTTCAGTTGCAGCAGGAGTTGATGTCGGCTTGTCTGTCGGATCATCTGGCATAGGTCTTTCTGCGAGCGCTACCTTAGGAGTGAATCTAGGTCTTTCAGCAGGACTAAATTTGGGCGGCAGTCAACCGACAGCAAATTCAGCATTGGCTACCCCATCAACAACCATGACTCCAACTATCAACTTGTTACCAACATCGTCTCTTGCATCGGCTGCAGGACTAAGCATTGGCCTCGGTCAATCAACAGCGAGTTTAGCATTGGCTAACTCGTCAGCAATCTCGAATACCATCATCAATCTACTCCCAACCTCGTCTCTTGCTTCGGCTACAGGATTAGACCTTGATTTGGGCCAATCCACAGCTAGTTCTGCATTGGCTGCAGGACTGAATTTGGGAAGTGGTCAATCGACAGCAAGTTCAGCTTTAGCTGCGTCGTCATTTGTCCCGACTACCGTTGTCATCTTGCTTCCAACCTCGTCTCCCGGATCAGCTACAGTGACAGGCCTTGGTTCGAGTCAACTAACAGCAAGTTCAGCATGGGCGGGCATATCAACAGCCTCGATTTATAATTTAAACTTGCTGCCAACGTCGTCTCTCACATCGACTACGGGACTAGGCAGTAACTTGGGTCAGTCATCCTCAACAGCATTGGCGGCCTCATCGCCAATCACGACTATGAACATCAATTTACTCCCAACGCCATCTCTCTCATCAGCTACAGGACTGGGCATTAGCTTGGGTCAAATGGCGAGTTCACCAACATCATCTCTCTCATTGGCTGTGGCTGGCTTGGGCCAGTCATTCTCATCAGCATCATCTACATCATCTACTTCTTCACGATCATCATCAGTATCAACCACAACAACTACAAACCCCACTTCGACCTCTACAAGAGGTTCCACGACTCCGAACCTTGTTCAGAGTTTGACTGCCATTGTGGGACGTCAAGTCACGCATCCCATAGACTCGCGGAAGAGACATCAAGGATTCACTACTCTTGTGCGATAGGGCACGAATGATGTGCTGAAGATGATCAATCATGATGGAAGATCTGGGGATGGCTCAGAAATCGAAGCAGGAATGTCATTTGTACAGAAGGCAGTTTACAGAATTGATATCATCGACAATGTTTGACGGGAGTGCAAGTAGGAATCAAGGTCCAAACGCAATGGGCTTATCTGGTTCCTGATTCATGCACATTGTTCTGTAGATCCTCAATCATAAGCGAAGTTCATCACTTTCTGTTTCGCTCCTTTGATATCTTAGTATTCTGACGGTGTAAGTGTTGTATCCCGAACAGGCCCCTGAGTGTCACACGCCTAAACCTGGGTGTACTAGATTCCAGACTGTGCCCTAGGCTGCGTCAAGGGGGCAAGAGGATCACGGCAAATCAATACTACGTGCTTGTCGAGGACTTGGTTGATGCGTCTGGATTCCCAGAACTGACTATGGCACGTGATCATGCAAACACTAGCCACGTTTGGCTAGTTTATGCTACTTCTCGTGGTAAAGGCACTGGATGCAATTCAATTTAGACTCTGAGACAATTGAAGTCTTAACAGAGACAAATATTGGAAAACCAAAATTCCAAAACAGAACTTGAATGTGTTGTGAGATGAAACTAGGAATATAGAAGGCAAGCTAATCGGATGATGGCAGCAAGTTATTGTACAGGACAAAAGCTCTTTCTTCGCGCTTTAGGATCCTCCCATGGACCGTCGTACTCCTTTGTCCGAAGATTGTGATACAAAATAAGACACGCCGCTTCCTAAGACATAGCAAAATCCGACAAGCAATACAAATTTGAAATAAGAACTCGAAGCAAAAGAAACTGTTAGTGGTTGTGCAACCACGGCGAAGTATCGTGGTCATCATACTACTCATTGTTCACAAAATCGTCCATGTGCGTGTCGTCTGCATGGTCTTGGTCGTGTCCACCAGCGGCGAATGCTTCGCCGGCAAGTTGATTCTCTCCTTCATGGCCCAACGTGGCATGGTCTTCGTCGTTGTGAACCATATCCGCGAAGATTGAGTCGAGATTGGCATTCGTGTTGCTAGCCTGTGGACTGCTGAAAGACGGGCTTGCCTCAGTGTGCGCCAACCTAGGGCTGCCAGATGAGCTAGGTCGCTTGTCAAACATGGCTCCACCAGCTGTGAACAGTGCAGGATCGAGATTCATTCCTGTGCTGAACATGGGAGGGTGCTGAGGTGGTGATCGCGGCACCGCAAAGTTTGGTGGCGGTGGTGGAGACGTGTGAGATGCGTAGTTGTTTGAAGCGAATTGTGCAGGATTAACAGTGTTCGAAGATTCGTCCGGAGTACGAAGTGGTGGCAAGCCAAACGATGGCGGTGCGAACAGCGGCGAATCACGATAACCTGAATTGACCATAGATTGGGGTTGAGATGAGGGATAACTGAACGAAGGAGTCTGCTGTTGAGGATAGCCCGGCCGACTGCTAGGGGGACCGGGTGTTGCAGTAGACATGCTGGACGGGGTATGAGCTGCTGGAGAACCAGCGGGTTGGAGTGGCTGAGGTGGTTTGTGGTGTGCTTCACTCCCCTTGCGCTTGTGAGGCTTGATTTTGTATTGAGGAGGAAGATCATCAGGATTAGTGATCCCCAACGATGCCATGAGCTTTTGCTGCTTTGTAGGACGAGGCTTGCGGGTGGATGCAGAGGAGTCAATGACTGGCGGAGCTTCTGGAGCTACGGGGGCTGACTTGTGTAGTTCTTGACGCAGGAAGTTGGTCTCGTAGGCAAGAAGGATATCGGCACCCTCGACCTTTCGGAGGTAGAAGCGGAGCGTAGTAACCTCGTCTGGGGAAACTGTCAAGGGGTTGACATATGGACGGATGTAGTCTCTGAAGGCTTGAGCCGTCTCGATTATGCTTGTGAGGGTCTCTTCTTCCTCGGGCTGGAAAGGAAGGGTTTCCAGCTCGTCTTGCCAGGCAATGAGCTCCTCGAGCTTGGGGCGCGCAGCATCGCGAGGGATCTTCAAGCGCCAGTCACAGATAGGGCAAGTGTACTTGTCGTCTTCCTTGACCTTGCCGCGTGCGATTTTGAGACATTTTCCGTGGTACCTAGAAGTATATCAGTGATGCGGATCATGCTGAACCTAAACTCGAGACTCACCATTCATGACACAGCTCGCACTCGATCATCATACCAGCTTCAGGTCTACGGCAGAGACAGAAGACGTCCGGGAAATTGTTCTTGGTGTCCAGCTCCGGCGTGTGTTCTCTAGAAGAAGGCTCGACCGGCATTCTCGGCTTATCACGAAGCTCGAAACATGCATCGTTTCTCTCTTTGACCAAATTCATGTGCTGATGCAAAATGTGTAGCGGCGCATTGGCTTTACCGAACAACTTCTTACCACGGCGCATCCAATCTTCGTGACGACGTTGCTCTTTCTCAAGGTCAACAGTGCCAGCAGGCTTGTTATTCAACTCTTCGAGAGACGCCATCACATCTCTGACGTCCTTGTACATCGGTCGCGATCTGAAGTCAGGATTCTTGCTCTGTTGGTAGAGGGCAAGAATCTTTTCTTGAGCTTCGCGCTGTTTCTTGAGAATAGCGTCGACCCTTGCAAGCGTCTCTGGAGTGACAGGCAGACCAGCTGCTTGCTTTGAGAGAGCGTCCAATTGCTGATAATGTACGTTTTCGACACTCATGATCTCTTTAGCCTTGGCTTCCCAATACTCACCCTGTGTCTTTGCATCTCTCAGGCGAAGTATATGTGGATTTGTCTCAGGAATGCCAATCTCCAAACCGCGGTTGATGAAAGCGTCAACGTCCTGAAGAGTTAAAAGATGGACTGAACGAGTGTGAGCTTCGTCAAGCCATTTGACGTGATTCAGTAGCTTTTCAAGGTTTTCGAGTTCAGGTAGATCAATGTTGAGACCTTTGCCAACTTCGAACACTTCCTCGATTTCTTGAGTAGAGCGTGGATGGTGTTGTTGACCCATGCAAATAGCGACCGCCTTTGCTTTGAAGTCGTTGATGTCGGCTTCTCTTTCGCGCAGAGTCTTGTACTCTGGACAATCGAAGTGAATCTCGTCAGCGGCAGCGAGCAATTTTTGCATGTTCTCGAAGTTCCGAAGCTCCTTGTCACGCTCGTCCGATTCAGCAACCGTGGACTTCTTGCGGGAAGACTTTCCCTTAGCTCTGTTCTGCTGCTTACGAGTAATGTAGATGGTAGCCTCTTCCACCCAGTCATTGCAGCGCTCAACGTAGCGCTTCAGGTCTGCGAGCTGCGGAATGTCGAAGGGGATACGCTCACCTTCGTTGAGCAGTGAACGCAAGATTTTCAGCGACGGACGAGGTTCCTGGCTAAGGTAGTCGTCGACCTTTTGTGCCCAAGCTTCAGGGAGCTTAGCTCGGTCAACGACCTTTTGCACCATTGACTTAAGCTCCTTGTCCGTCATGCGAAGAGAGAGGACGTGGTCATGAGCAGGACTGGCGTAACGATCGGATTCTTTCGAATCGCAGCATTCATATGCGCCAGCATGAAGCAAACACATGACTTTACCCGATTTCTTGCACACGTATCGTGAAAGGAAGCTGTAACACTTGCAGAAACTGCAGACATATTCGTCCTCGTCCATATCCTCTGTAAAGATTTCGGGCTTGTCGGTGTATCTCTCACCTTGGTAAGTGTCGTCTGTTGGTTCGGTGTTATCAGGCTTCTCAAGGAAGTGCTTGCGCGCGTTCATCTCCTTCTCAAGCGATCGTTCCAGAGCTGGAGCAAGCCATTTTGCAGTGTTGATTGATTGGTCGCGGGCAGCAGCTGTCAGCAGGAGCTCGTCGTGGGAGAAACATGGTTGGCGCCGATAGTCACGGAGCCTTTGGACACCACTTTCACCAAAAGGTTCCCAGTCAACAGGTGCGAAGTTGACAGCTTCGTTGAGATTGAAACCGTGGTTGAATCCAGCGTGGTACGCTTGAGGGAATGTTACGACCATCTGACCTGCACGTTGGTCGATAGCATAGACTCGGACTCCAGCTTTTTTCAGCTTCTCTGGCGGCATCAATGTCACCAATTGGAACAGAAGATCCGGTTGCGTCTCGAAGAGTTCCGGCACAGCTTCGCGCATTGCGTTTTCGAACTTCTCAGCATCTTCTCCAGGAACGCCATACCATGTTTTGGTCGCTCCGAAATGTTGGTAGTTGGCAGAGTAAGCGTAGTGATCCTCGTTATGCCAGCAGAAAGTGGAGAACACCATACCGACGTAGAGCCATGGCACTGTCATTCCAGAAATATCCGTCTTGATGTGCTTAAACAGTGACTCGCCATAGAGTGGGAGGACATTCAAATTCCAGGGATCTGTCGAATAAGGGTCGCGAGGCTGCTTTTCAATTGTGGGGAAGCCACTTCCGTGGGTTGTCGAATGGATATCAGCACCATATTCAACTTCGACTGTTTCGGTGATGTTCTCGACAAGTCTCCAGAACTCGCGCTCAACATCATCTTCGTTGACTGGCCTTCTTTTGTTCAAAATGGGATCAAAGGGCATTTTATCGGCGAAGTGGTTCTCCTTGAATCTGTTTGCTCTTTCCTGGAACGCTCGAAGCGAATAAACCTCACCTTCTTCAAATCCAAATTCTCCAGTTCCCACCAGACAGCGGGGGCAGTGCCAATCGTGTTCCGGTTGCTGCATCTTGACAGGAGGTTCGAGACATGCGCCATGATAACCACAATCGCAGCTATCGCAGATCAGAAGCAAACCTGGGTCTTCTGGCTTTGCGCAAGTTTCACATGCTTCGCCAGGAGGGAAGTTGCTGCGTTCTCGTGCTGGAACAAACCTCGGTGTCGAAGTCCTGGGTTGGTGCATGTGCGAGCCTGCTACCATCGGCGCTGGCTCTCTCTTCAATCTCTTGCTACGTCGTCCAGACGCGTCCAGGTCCCCGTTCGCGTCCTTCTCCGCGCTGTCAGTCAAGGGCCGTTTTGCAGAGTTGCTGGGTTCGAGAGTTGGTGTGTTGCTTTCTTGCAATTGCGGACTATCCATGGTCGATCTCGGTACTGATCGCGGGTTCTCTGGGGTCGCGTGGATTCCGTTAGGCCCATTCACGGGGGTAAAGCCTGAAGGACGGTTGACTGAAGTGAAGCCTCCATTCACAGGAGTAAAGCCTTGGACAGGAGCTGGAGCCGGAGCCGGTGGAGTCGGCTTGACTGGCGTTTGCTGAGCTGCAGGCATTCCAGCGTCCAGAGAAGCATTCAATGCAGCCGATGCGCGCATTGCTGGAGTATTGTCACCATTCGGGGTATTGTTCTGCGACTTCTTAAGAGGCGAAGTACCCGGAGAGGGGGTGAAAGGGCCGCCGTTTTCTAGTTCGAGTTGATGTTGAACACCTGGTTTTGCGACTCGCAGGTAATCCTCGTATGGTTGTAGCCATTTCTGGTAAGAATTCTTGAGAGAAGTCGAAAGACTGGACATGATTTTTCCACTGTATCCAAGATCACGACCAATCTCAGCCCATTTCTTCAATTTGCACACTCGATCGAAACCCCCTCTGGCTTCGACCGCCTTTTTGAGTTTGTAGAGGTCAAGGGGTCGTTTATCCACACTGGGGAACCGGTTGAGGTTAGTGCCGTGTTGCCTGTGGAATTTGGACAGCTGATCCAGGTAATTGAGATTTGCGCGAGTACCTGGGTTGAAATCAGCGAACTATATGAATATCAATATGTATTGTAACTCACCGCCTTCGACGGAGTTTAATTCCTGGCGTCGCACACGAAAGTGAAATCGCTGTCAACTGTGTCAGCATAGAGTCGGCATTATAGTCATGCCGTACATACAGATGTATCGATGGCGAAGGGCATCTGCCAGCCTTCGGGAGGAATGATCTTTGCGATTCCATATTTGCGACCTTCAGGTTCAATCTTGCGCATATAAGCCATAGGGTCGCGAAACTCTTCTTCGGTAGGTCGGAAAGTAGGGCCCTCAGGGATGCCGTGTAGTCTGTTCCTTTTGGTAATCTCCGGCGCAGCATTTGGTTGTCCTCGACGCTCCACGGTGGTCAAGTCCAGAGGTTCTGAGCGTCTTGCGCTGAGCGGCATAGGTGCATTGTTGACGGCTGCACTCGGTGTATGAGCGACAGACTTGGGCTTTGTTGAAGCGACATTGCTAGTGGTATATGTCGGGCGATTTGCTGAAGAGGCAGCAGCAGCCCCTCCGCTGCTTGGAGGCACGACCATTCGCAAAATTCGGTGGGTGTAATTATTAAGGTGGATATATCGAGGCTGAGCTTAAGCGACTCGGTCGTAAGGGAGTTTGGCGTAGGACGATATTAAAGAGCGGCGTTGATGGTGAAGGGGTGATGGAGCGGCGGCGGGCACATGAGAATGTGGAGCGACAAGAAACTGGAGAGGGCGAGCGGCCAGATCTGATATGTGGGCGGAGCACACTAGGCAAATGCTGTCTCCAGGCGATGACCAGGTAACGATGGTTACTGTCGCATGTGCATGAGTTCAAAGGTCTGCTCGCCCTGGCTGCTTTCAAGAAACAAATTGGAGAAGCAGTGCTGGATTTAGAAAGGCAAGTGCGAGGCAGACTTCCCATACGGCTGGAACAAGACGACTCACCCGCACAAAGTCGACAGCTTGGCCAAGATTGGCTTCGCTGAGGATTGGCTTCCGAGCCTCGCCGCGTGATGCCAGAACCATCTTCTTCATCTGCCCTGTTCCTGATTTTGTAGCACCATCCACACAGTTCTCTTGTGCTCTCTTTGATCATCAGATTACGCATCCCTCCTTCTAATCATCATACTACATCCACACCCATTCCTTCATCCAAAATTCTTTCTCGACCATTCCATGCAATTCGCGACCAAGATACGTCGTCAGATTTGCCGCACAGCAGATCTGCAGCCGAGAGCTTCCCGCACTTGACAGCCAATCACATGTCTCTTGGTTTCACCTCGTAGATTTTGGTTCTCCTAATTTCGGTACTACGACTTGATTAGGGAGCGTATTCATATCCTTTCTAGGTTGTCTCGAGAGGTGGGTCCGCAATGGACAGGCCGATACCTGCATTCTATGCTTGTTATCTGCTTCGTTCGACAGTCCGCCACCAGAATCTCTATGTTGGAAGCACGCCACATCCCGTCCGACGTTTGAAGCAACACAATGGGATCGCCAAAGGCGGAGCTGTGAGAACATCCAAGAACACGCTACGACCATGGGAAATGACTTGCCTTGTCACCGGATTTCCTTCAAAAATTGCTGCATTGCAATTTGAGTAAGTCAATTGGTCACCCGTGTTGCTCTGTTTATTTGTCGATACACCAGGCCATTGCACCATTTTTTGAGCACATATAAGGTCTGTATTTTCTAACCATGATTTCACAGATGGGCATGGCAAAACACACACCAGACACGACATATTGCTCCAGATGAGCGCATTACTCAAGCCAACACAAAACAAAGATTTTCACCACGGACTGGCAAGGTACGCAAGCGCACAGGACGACCTCGTATGTCAATGCACGACAAACTTGCCAATCTTCATATCTTGCTAAGAGCAAAGAGTTTCGAACGTTGGCCATTACAAGTTAAGTTCTTTGCCGAAGATGTGTACAAAATGTGGCACAGATGGACCGTCAACATGCCTGAAGTCATTCGTCAGGGTATTGAAGTTGAGATGGATGAATCGGTTTTACAAAACACAGCACCCGAAGAGGACCTCTCAAACCCCGTTGGCATCCATAAGATCGACCCTACTTATCAACACATGAAGACCTTTTTAGAAAAGAGCCGAAGACTGCTAGTCGTACCGAATAACAATTGCGTCATTTGTTGCTCTTCTCTCGATGCAACAAAAGAAATGGCGCTTGTATGTTTCAGCCAGGAATGCAACTCAATCTTCCATGTCGGATGTTTATCGAGTCATTTCCTCAAGGGTGAATATGGCGCTGAAGGCGCGATTGTCCCAACACATGGGCATTGCCCATCTTGCGAATCAAGCCTGGACTGGACCGACCTTGTGAAGGATTTGAGCTTGCGCATCCGTGGCGAAAAAGAAGTCACAGCTCTGTTCAAAGAGCCAAAGCGTCGTAAAAAGAACGTCAAAGAGAGTGCAAAGAGCGCTGCCGTTGTCGATGAGGATGAAGCGGAGGAACCTGACGTTTTGGCAAATGAAAGTGACCTCGAGGTGGATTTTGACGACGTCTTGCTGCAGTCAGACTATGAAGACGTTGATCAGATGCAAGCAACACCTTCCGGCGATGATGATGAGTGGAAGCTGGTCGACAAGTTGAACGAACAGGACACACCCCGCGTCGTCGTTTCGGCAAGCTCTTCAGCCGCCAAAGTGCGAAAAGCAGTCATCGAAGACAGCGACTGGGATGAAGCTGAGGTCATCGAATGAAAGGAAAGACTCTAGTAGACCAACAGTCCATTTAAGACCTTCAGGACCTTCGCATCTCGGAATCCTCACAACAGTCCCTCATGCCACGGACAGACCAAGGTCATCTACCAAGACTGAATACGTCGCAGAGGACCACGTGTCGTGCTGATACAAGTCTCAGCATGATGACGGATTGCGCTTCCAACGTCCTCGAGACTTTGGCCAGCATCTATGGTTACAAAGTCAGAACCATCGTCTGTGGCTCGAATGTCAGCAAAAAGCTGGCGGACTCGATCTTGAAGCTCCTTCTTCTCGTATCGTTCTTCGCCCCAACCCCCTCGCTTTGCTGCGTCCTCTGCAGAGATATCAAGGAAAAGACACAAGTCTGGTCGAGGAAGGCCTTCTTCAGGATGACGGCACCAAGCGAGGTTGAGGCTGGGATTGTTCTTCGCGGCAGAATAGACACATCCAGAATAGTAGTACCTGTCAATGATGACGGTTGTTCCAGCATTGATGTCTGCTTCTATCGACGCTCTGTCGATTATTAGAGAAACACCACAATACAACAAGTTTGGAACCACATACACTGCCTCCCATCTGTTCGCAGAGAAAAGCAGATGAATGACATGATCTTCTTGTTCACTCTGTCCCTGCAGGTAGTTGTTGATCATTTGGCCAATTGGAGTTGTTCTATCTGCCAAAACATGAGTATTCCATTGAGTGGGAAGCGGTTTGAATCACGTACCGGGAAATCGACGATGTTTTACAGGCAAGCCTCTCTCAGAAAGATAAGACACTAGTCTCTCGCATTGTGTAGACTTGCCTGATCTGTCGAGACCTTCAAATACAATCAGCTTTCCACGAGACATCCTTACGATTTGTATGATGTAGAAACAAAACACTGGGTAGTTGTGGTCGAGAATTAATCTACACGATGCAACGCGAAGTGACGCGCGTGAACCAGCGGCTTGGCAAGCGACTTTGGTCCAGCGAGTCAAAACGCAAGTGCTTTTTAGAATGTTGATATGACATCGGTCAACATGTCCGAAGAAACCATGTTCAAAATCACGACAGCATCAACGAGCAGTGCAGTCAGAACCGGAATGCTCAGCTTACCCAATCGGCAGGCCATCAAGACACCCCATTACCTGGCTGTGGCATCCCGTGGAGCTGTACCGCACTTGACTCAGGACAATGTGACCAAGCACACAAGTATCTGCGGTGCCTACATGGCAGTAGAGGATTGTAAGTTTGCACTGTGGCAACAACCTATCGCCTAGACAGCGAAGCTGACCGAATGTGTGTGCTCACCAAAAGAATTGAAAAGTCGTAGAAAAAGGTACCCCAATTCTCAAGTACAACCCACCGGATGGATCCTCAAGACTGCGTGCATACACTGCAACCCCAGACGATCATGTTCTGGTTCTTGGAGCTCGCCGTTCGCCACCTGTGCCTTCGCCAGGAGCAAGCACCGATAGTCAGATGAGCATCATGACTGCCTTTGGTTTCACCAAGCTCCAAGACTCGACTTTCAGAAGCCTGACAACTTCGCTTAACCCGGATATCATTGTCGGTCTCGGAGATATCCCGTATGGATATTACAAAGTCAGCTACAAGAAAATCGACAAAATCACAAATCGGACTGCAAAATGGATGCAAGCGCACGTGGATGAACGAACCAAGACAAAGAAAGAGCAAGGAGCAGTACTGCCGCTGCTGTATGCACCACTGTTGCCCATCTCGGCCGACTCGCAGAGGTATTACATTGACCATCTCGAAGACATGGCGCAAGATATACAAGGACTGGCTCTTTACAATACAATCACTCTAGAGGATCTGCCCGAACAGCTGATGGCCCTCCCACGCCTCGGTCTGACCGAACCCAACAATCCTCGTGCAGTACTGCAAGACGTTTCCCAGGGCATAGATGTCTTGACTCTGCCTTTCCTAAGCGCCATCACAGACGCTGGCGTGGCGTTGGACTTCCGTTTCCCTGTCTCTGGCCCCATACCAGAGAAGCCTTCGCCGCTAGGCGTGGATATGTGGGATACAAAGCACGCGACAGATGTTTCACCGTTGCGCAAAGATTGCCCTTGCTACGCATGCACGAATCACCACCGCGCATTTCTGCAGCATCTTTTGTCGGCAAAAGAAATGCTGGCCTGGGTGTTGTTGCAAATCCACAATCACCAGATCATGGATGAGTTTTTTGCTGGCATACGCGAGAGCATCGGCCGTGGCACCTTGGATCAGGATATTGCGGACTTTGAGCGATTCTACGAGCCAGAGCTGCCAGAATCTAATGGCCGCGGCCCTAGGTAGGCGGCCCTTCCCAAGCGTTTAACATGTCAAGACCAGCAAAACTGACGAACAAACAGACTACGAGGCTATCAATTCAAGTCCGAGGGCCCTAATGAGCGCAAGAGAAACTCGGCGCCGTTCACAGTATACAAAGCGAATCCGGACAAGGTTGCACAAAAGGGCTCGGTGCCTGTTCCCGGGCCCGATGCAGTCGCTGAGGACCTCGAAAAGGTTGGCTTCGCCGAGAAGGTAGATTAGTATGCATCGGAATAGCAGTGTCACGAGCTGTGGTCCGCAGCAGACAGTGCAACAGTGCAGCATAGGCCAGCTATGGATGTTCCTGATAGCATACAGAGTAGATTCTTGGTCAAAAGCAAAGCCAGTTATTCTTGCGTGAGGCTTACAACAGGCCCTTTCTTGCCAGTTCGATCTTTCTTGCAGCTTCGCCAGCCTTGTAGCCTCCCTTTGACACGCAGATCATACTGCCATCGTCCAGCTCGACTTTGTCTTCTAGCTCGGGGAATGCGCAAGGACAGTGGTGTGGGAAGTGTACGCAAGACAGGGTGGAAGGGCAGAGGTATTTATCGCAGTGTACTGTTCGTATGGCGTCAGCATATCCGGGTACTCGACAGATGATGGGAGAGAGAGAGACTCACCAGCTTCGTACTGTTGCTTGTACCACGCAGAGTCAGATGCAGCGTTTTGCGGTTGCTGATTTTGCTGGCCACCTTGGTTGAACATTTGCTCGAAGAACTGGAATTGAGCAAATGCAGGAAGGACGAAGAGCAGGAGCGTGGTGAAGAAGAGGGATAGTGGTGTCTTCATGGTTGCTTGCGACTTTGAGTCTTGGTTGCGCTTTCGATGCGGATGTGATTGGTGCTTGTGTGTAGATGTAGACTTGAGTATCTTTATGTCTCAACTACTTTGAGAATATTATCCGTCAAGAAGGATGGCATGCAAATGATTTGGTTGTTCAAAAGCCAGCTGTAATTATTGTTGTCCACCCTGGCGGGCATCGCATTGTGCCAAGACGACGATCAACTCCGCAAAAGCTTCAGCACATCCGCCCGGCGCATCTTCACGAATTTTTCCTCAGTTCTCAGTTCACGCCGCCGTCAACTCGACTACCCACGACCAACGCCCTTCTTCTTTCTCACGACCATCACAAACACTACACCGTCAACATGCATCTTATGTACACTCTCGACAGCCAGGGCAAGCGTGTCTACACCCTGAAGAAGGTCAACGGCGCAGAGGTCACAAAGTCTGCTCACCCTGCTCGCTTCTCCCCCGATGACAAGTACTCGAGGTAAGGACATGATCAATCAGTCCATCCGTTCGCGCAACAGGGAAAGAGACGGAACCAAAGAACTGCCAAAAACAGAGAAGAGAGTGGTCAAAAAGAGGAGAGTTTTGAGACAAAAGATGAGCTAGGAGGCACACGACACTCTGCAATAGCAACGAGGTGGACATGACAGTGGAAATGGACCCACAAGAGCAACGCAATCGGCGACAGAGAGAGATATAGGCGCGCAAAACCTAGTCAGCAAGACGCTGACTTTCTTTCCAACAGACACCGCGTCACCCTCAAGAAGCGCTACGGTCTCCTCATCACTCAGCAGAGTATGTCAGCCCAATACTCATTTTCTTCGAACCCTTGCAACTAACACATTCGATAGAGGACCTCAAGGTTCTTGGTCAATAAACGCACCCTAGCTGCCAAGACAATCATGGACATTTGATCATTTTTTTCGTACTATGGGAAAGAGAAAGGCGTTCTGCGGCGCAGGCTTGTATCGGACGGATCGTCTCTTTTGAGAAGGACAAAAGTTGTAGAGGGGAGCATGCGAGAGCTCGCGACATCTTCGATTCGGCCACATGAAATGGTCGAGAGAGAAGTATTATGGTTTTTTTGCGTAAAGCGAAACCCTGAAATCACCAAACACTTCAACCGCCAGAAGTTCATATGCGTGTCCCTGACTAGGTCTGTGAAAAGAACTTTTGTATACCATCTGCCATGATCATGTCTACCATTAGAGAGAAATCCTCAATTCCGACCACCGTAGAGCGCCTTGAACACCTTGCCATGCAAGTAAGACAAAGATTCATACCGGGCATCAACCAATCCTCTCACAACTCTATCGCTTTCTTGAGTTGACATTGCGACCACCACCAACCTTCATCCTGCCACCAGCTCTGCTGTTGCGGTCTCCAGTCAAGATGCTAGGCAGATAATCCTCGTCCATCAAGTCTCTCTCCTTCCTTCTTTTCTCAGCCTCATTATGTCTGGTATATTCCTTCTGATCCTCTGCAAGAATCAGATCGTTGCCCCAGTGTCCTTTACCTCCACCTTGGACTCTTCCGTTCGCGCTTCCATGCACAGGTTTGGGAATGCTGAAGCGATCGCCACGGGTGTTCCATTGCATGTTCTTTTTCAGGTGCAATTTGAATTCTCCGTTGGATGTTGTGCTGCAAGCCACTCTGGTAAGCGTGGGGCTTCCGCATCTGGGGCAGAATTGCTTGCTCATTTCTTTTGTCGTGCAGAAGCAGGCGTGGCAGCGCAGAATGTAGGTCTTGAGGTGCTTGACGCGTTGCATGGTGGGTGAGAGCAGGTTGAGGTTTATTTGCAAAAGCACGTTTTGCATGGCGAAATCAGTCGTCAGGGTTGCAACTTGCAGGACGCTTTGGACGTTTTGAATGCTCTCGGTGCTGCCTGCCGAATCTTTTTCTTGGTGCTTCTTGAGGTTCGAGGGTGTAATCCAGCCACCATCAGAGTCTTCGCCCGAATCGTCGGCTTCCTCTTGAGGGGTCTCGACGGTTTGAGAGTCCTGAGCAGGGACAGGCTCTTTTGGAGCGGTGTTTTTTACTGCCTCGATCTTTGTCTGCGCTAGATCTTCAGAAATCTGCTGGACAGAGGCATCGGTAGTTGTTTGTTCGGGCACAGCTTCGGTGGTCTCCTCCTGCTTGATCTCTGTAGCCTCCTCTTGCTTGGCCTCATCCTTCTCCTCAGACTTGACTTCCTCCTTGACTGGAGGCTTGCCGTTCATGCCCTTCTGTCCAGGAGCTCTTCTCAATCTCCAGTCGCCACCATTGCGTTCGCATTCCAACTCGTAGGCCAGGGCGACAATCTGGATATCAGGCTTCGAAAGAACATCCAAATCACCAGTCCTGCGGGCAAAGTCGGTGACAAACTTTATACTCGCAGGAGTTGGTGAGCGAATGGTCAAGAAGGGCATAAGTTGCGTCTCGACACGGGTGCGGGTGGCAGCATCTCTAATCTCGGTGATGATGGCGGGGACGGTGACAATTTGCTCGGATTGGGCGAGAAGGGTCGATACAGTAGGGTTGTTGCGAATGATGGAACCAGTATCCAGGACAATGGTGTGTACCGGCTTTTGCGAGTCCATAGTCGCGGTCAATTTTGGTATTCCTGTCGACTTTTTTTTTTCCTGGATGGTGACTTTTTCCCGGACCTGGCTGACGCCCAAAGTCCCTGCATGTGACAGGCTGCCAAGACCAGCAGATTCTACGTCTGCTCCTTAGACCCTTCCTTTGTCTCTTTGCTTGCTTCCATTCTAGTCTCTGCCAAAGCCGCCCGTGTCAGCCATCTTTCTCATTAACTGCTTATGCGCGCTCAACATTGTTGACCATTCCGGGAATATCGTCCGGAAATGAAGTCGACCACAGTCTCGTAGAATACTGCAGCTCAATCTCATGGTCGGAAGCCTTGTGTTACTGACCGCCGCAACTATACTGTACCCCATGTCCTACGCTGAACCCATGTTAAGCACCAACTTATAAGGACTTCAAGCCGGATTCAGGAATGTGGAAGTCAAAGCAACCTTCAGCTCGGTTCCAGGAGACACAAAGCAATGTGCCTCAAACAGGGTTGTATCGCGGGTACCGGAGGCGCGTGTATATTTAGCTAAGATTAAGCTATAGCACAGAGCAGAGGATCAAGAGTTGGCACATGCCTGCAGGAAAGAGCATGGAGCATAATTGTGACATCTGAACCATACATGCGCACGCGAGGTGTAGGCACGTCGTGTCACAGTCGGAGCGGCTGCATAGAGCCCAAAGAGACAAAGGTAGTTAGGCAGCGTGTTTGACATGCGATGCATTGCTCTCGGGATGAGCCGGACGTTTACCAGGAATTGCGGTCCAAGTGCAGAAAGCCAATCAATTTTTTAATATCCATGGCTTAGAGGACGGCCCACGAGCGGCCAAGACACATGGGCGGTGTGGTGTCTCAGAGAACAAAGACTGAAAGACAGGCGGAAACACAGCAAAACAAGAAACAAGAGAGGCAGCAGTTGGCAGCACAAGAGCAATTTGTACAGCGCAGCTACGAGAAAAACGGCGTGGTTAGCAGTAGTTAAGGTAGATAGTGGTTTCTGCGGGTGGACCGGCAGATGTACAATATGGACGGGCCAAGCAGGTGCTCTCGCGGTAGTAGGTACGTGCTTTGTCGCTCGCTAGCGGGGCTTTTGGCTGTCAAGTGGTGAAGACTTGGTCGCTGGCAGAAGTGCGAGAAGCATCAGGTCTTGAAACTCTGTCGAGCTTCCCTTGAACCTGTCGAAGCTTCCCGCCTGCTACCGCCCTCACCCACGTTCTGTCTTTTGTGCCAGAGCGTCCTGCTTCCGACATCAACAACACCCAAATCTTCTTTTTTGCAGCAGAATGGCTTCTGCACCCACCACTCCCGGCGGTGGCCTCGATCGCTACGTCGTCATCCACGTAGCTACCACCTGCGACGAGCATGGTGTCTATGTGACCAAGGACTCGGCAGAAGTCATCGAGCTGGGCTGGATCCTGCTCGACTCCAAGAACTGCGACGAGGTAGGAAGGAACCTCGGTCTTATCTGCAAGCACTGCCTAACGTCCATCTCAATCTAGCTTCACCGTGAGAGCGTTCTTGTCAAGCCTGTCAACACTCCCATCACCCCGCTCTGCAGTAAGACAAGCCTCCACCTCCGACCATGTCTTCAATCCATTGACATATTGTGCAGCCAGCCTTACAACCCTTACCTGGGAGCACGTCCGCAATGCAGGCTCCTTCCGCGATGCCATCAACCGCTTCGACCAATTCGCCCAGGAGCACCTCGTCAAGAACAACCACGAGTTTGCCTTTGTCACTCTTGACTCTTGGGACCTCCGTGTCCAGCTGCCCCGTGAGGCTCGCGATAAGGCCGTCGTCCTTCCCCCCTACCTGCAGCACTCGCGCACCTTCGACCTTCGCACCGAGTACCAAAGATGGCAAGCTCATCACCCCGAGTCGCTACCCTTCGGCTCCAGTGCCTTGACCAACATCTGTGCTGCCCTTGAGGTTGAGCCCGTCCAATCCTCGGCTCCCATCAAGCACAACTTGCCTTTCCACCTGCAAGCTCTGGCTCCCGCCTCGCCTCGTCGTGCCATGGAGGAGGCCGTCACCCTTGCAAGAGTCCTTCGCGGTCTGATCCGCAAGTCTCAACCTCCCCACGAGCACCCCGATGTCCTGACCCGCCCCATGGATGCCCGCGCAGACGTGCGTGCTTTCTTGTCTGAGCGTAGCAAGGTCCTTCACATGAGTGGACTTCCTCATGACACCACCCAGTCCGAGCTCGAGAGTTGGTTCACTCAATTCGGTGGTAGACCCATCGCTTTCTGGACCCTCCGCACCCCCGACCAGCATAAGCCCACTGGTACTGGCTTCGCCATCTTCTCCTCCCACGAAGAGGTATACTGAACACTCCAATCTCATACTCCACACCAATACTGACGTCTTTTGTAGGCTGCCGAATCTCTCTGCATGAACGGCCGTGCACTCAACGAAAAGGCCATCGAGGTCTCGCCTTCTTCCTCGCGCGTACTTGACCGTGCCGCTGATATCCTCACCGCCTTCCCTCCTAGCAAGAACCGCCCTCGTCCCGGTGACTGGACCTGCCCATCTTGCGGCTTCTCTAACTTTCAGCGCCGCACTGCTTGCTTCCGCTGCTCTTTCCCTGCCATGGCTGCAGCCCCTGACCCGATGTACGGCTACGGCTACGGCCACCCTGGCATGATGGGTCCTCCTGGACACCACATGGGTCACCACCACATGGGTGGCGGTGGCATGCGTGGCGGCGGTTCCACTCACGTTCCTTTCCGTGCAGGTGACTGGAGATGCGGTGCCGAGGGTTGCAACTACCACAACTTTGCTAAGAACGTCAGCTGTCTTCGCTGTGGTGCTTCGCGTGCAAGCGCCGCTCTGGTCGCGGATTCCAACTTCCAGCAGGTCGATGGATCCCAAGGCTATGGAATGGCCCCTCCCTCTATGGCCGGCACTCCTGGACCTGCCCCCTATGCTCCTCAGCAAGGTGGATTCAACTCTGCCGGAAACTTCCCTGGCCAGACTTACGGTGGTCCGCAGTCAACCTACGCTCTTCCTTCCGGACTTGGTGCTGGTACCTCCCCTTACCCCGCCATGAGCTCTGCTTACGGCCACAACGCTGGCATGCCCTCTGGTGGATTTGACAGCCGTGCTGAGGCTGCTTTCTCCGCAGGCCAGAACAACTCCTCCTTCTCCAACGGTGGTGGTATGTACGCTGGCGAACAGGCCACCCCTGACCCATTCACCTTCCTGAGCAGTGGTCTCAGCGGTCTTAGCGTCTCGGACGATGCTCGCCGCAACGGTACCAACCCTTCCAAGTCTCCTGCATAGATTGATGAAGACTTTCTGGATGGCGAAAGGAGGCCTCATCACAGGAGATAACCACACATTGTATTGAAAAAACCGGACCGTGTACACCAAATCAATTCGGAAGGGGCAGGGATATATATGGGTTTTGCTTTTTTTGGTCAGAAAATTGCAATGTCAGTCAGCGTCGGCGCCTGGTGGGGGTGGTCGGGAAGGTTTTGATTCTTTTATACAAATTGTGGGTGTTCTATATTGTTGCTGCTTCATGCCGTATGATGGCAAAGATGTCCGGTTGTTCGTGGGAGGTTTGGCAAGGCAGCATGGCAAAAAGGAGGTCTGTGGGACTGGTGGTGGTTCTGTTTGTAAACAAGACCACTATAAAAGAGAGAGCATTCAGGAGGGGAAAAGAAGGAGCGTTGGGGGCAACATATCATCATGGCATATTCGGCAAAGAAAAGGAGGGAGGAGAAGGCGAGTAGAGGAGTTCTTCTTTCTCGCATGTTTTAGTCGTTTCTTCATTGTTCTTTGATTTTCTTGACATTTCTGAAACATCTTTTCCACTGCGTGTTTTGCTTCTCATGTTCCGTATGTGCTGTTCTTGGTGTTATTCTTCGCTCCTGCTGTACGTCAAACAATAAGACAAAACAAATGAAAACTCAGAAAACTTTTGGAAAACATAAGAACAATCTTACAGAGCGAGAAGCTGGCTCCTGTGAGCCAAATGCCTTCGAATATGCAAGACGAGAATGAACCTGGTGAGTCTATGCAGATTACATAGCGGATAGTCTAATCAATCATGGTAATGTCGTGGCCTTCTTCTTCTTCTTCTTCCTTGTCGGTGCTCTCCTTACGCAGACCTTCCCACCATGTCCTGACCATTGCGACTTTCTCCCTTTCCTCCTCTCCGATCTCCACTGGTGGGCCAGTAACCTCTTCTCTCACGCCGTCCTCGCCGACTTCCTGACTTTTTCCCTTCCTAGCCCACACGGTTCTGTCGTCTTCTTCCTCTTGACCTCCGTAATCGAGGGCAGAAGAAGAGGGCGCACTGTATCGCCAAATACACCATCCGCTGGCAGCAGTAGACAAGAGATAGTTCTTGTGGTTGTGGGACCTTACTACAAATCCTCGGAGCAAGACAACGTCTCCTGGCGATGCTCTGGGCAGACTCTGTTTGAAAGGACGGAAAACCTCAACTTTGACGTCCTTTGTGCCTTCATCTTGCGAAGCAGTGTGGTACTCGTGGAGTGGTTGGTCAATAATTCTAAACGTTGTGTAGTAATCTTTGGGTCCTGACTTGGCACGTTCGGGCGTCCTGGTGGCGGTTGTACACACAGCAACAACATCAATGAGAGAGGATTGTTGGTTGAGATGCTGATTGAGGCCAGCCAGCGGAGTGAAGTAAGATCGAGATGTCGAGGTGCCTTGAGATGCGTAACGTTGCAGCGGTGGCGGCGAGATTGACTTTTCTCGTACGCGAGAAAACTGTTTGCCTGGTGGTATGACTGCAGCCTTTGTTGGCGTATCTTCCACCAACGAAGTGCTTGAAGTCGTGGCTTTGTGTTCGGTAGCTGCCTTTTGAACTTCAGTCGTGCGCCGGGGAGTGAACCAAGATCCAATAACAGGAACTTCGCTCATTCTCGAACTCAGCGCGTCACGCCAGGATTGGGATGGCGCTGATTGAGGTTCCTGTGGCTTAGCAGCCTTGTCTTTGACAGGTGTGCCAAAGAGTGACGCTTCAACCTCCGCAAATGGCTTTAGTGTTGGTTTGATTTGGAAATTACTAGAGGCTTGTTCTACCTCAGGAGCTTGCTCGATTGCTGTGGAAACCTCTGGTTTGGTAGCCGCTGTAGCGTCTGTGGTTGTGGTAACTTCTTGCGCTTTCTGGGGTTGAGGCTCAGAGATGGTAGAAGATGCTGGGGCCAGGCTAGCACCCATCTCGCCCTGGTTTTGACTCTTACCTTCAATCGTGGCCTCTGTTACCTTTTCAATCATCGCAGATCCTTCCGTTTCGCGTGAAGATAAATCAGGCATCACTTCATCTTGCAAAACCTGCTGTTGGTTGTCCTGGATCTGCTGCTCAGAATCTCCAGTCCTCTGCTCGTCGCCTCCAACAGACACTCGTGAACTAATCGACTTTCGACCTCTGAACAATGTTAAAGGTCTTGCTGACTTCTTGGTGCTCAGTGGAGTTGAAGGTCCTGGTCGTGGTGGAGACGCTGAGCCTGCCTCGGGCTCTTGTGCAACTTGAACATAATCTGCAAGCAATTCGTCGTCAAGACCAGCCTGTGATCTCATCTCGTCAGAGGCACCCTTGTCTTCAGGAGACGCTGTCTCTTCTCTAGCGGCAAGCTGCGATTGCATTTCCGGAGCGACATGTCTTCGGTCTTGGAGTTGAGATAATGCAGTGCCTAATTCTTGTGATGGCTGTATCAGGGTTTCTCCTCGGGTTCCCTGTGGAGGAATAGCTTCTGTCGCTGGTTCTGCGCTGGTAAGTTCATCAAGTGTATCGTTGTTCTCTGCTTCCAGATCGGTCGCCTCTTCGTCGGCACTATCAGGAATTGTCTCACTCCTGGTGTGTGCGCGTGACGAGCGCGATTGTGAGAACTGTGAGAATCGAGATGTCCAGGATGGTTCGACCTGAGAGAGATCAAGCTCCTCAATAGGTTGGTCGAGCATATGAGTAGCCATGTCCGATATTTTCTGAGCTGTGGGCTGAGCATCAGGCTCTTGTGGCTGAACTTGGACGGTTTCTGGAGTTGGGCTCAAAGTCTTGAAGCTCGAACTTGATAATGGACGCAACTCCTCTTTGAATTGAGGTGAGTTTTGAATCTGGGCGGTGGTCTCCAGCGATGCTTGCAAAGGCGCGGTATCCACCTCCATTTTTTCAACATTGTCAGGGTCCATCTCGACACTCTGTTGAACCTCAAGTTTGAGAGGGACTTCGTGCGCCTGAGCGATGGCTGCACCATCGTCCTGAGGAGCCGAAGGTTCATCTTCCATGAGCTTGGTCACTGCAGTCGTATACTCTTCTTCAACGTCTCGCTGCTCGCGCTCCTCTTCCTTGGCGCCCGAGAAGGTCGCGGATTCGGATGTTTCAGACATTGCATCATCAATGTGCAGTGGGCTAGGATGACTGTTCGACTGGAAGTCATCATGTCTCTCTACGAGCAGTGCAGGATCGATCTCATGTTCTTCTTGAAGCAATGCAGGATCGATCTCGTAACCTTCGAGTTGTGAAGAATTGGCAGAGTCTGCCTGTTCGAGCAAAGCAGGATCAATTTCTTGTTCTCCTTCAAGCAGGGCGGGATCAATCTCATGCTCGTCGTTAGGTTCGAGAGATTCTGCCTCGACCTCCATCATCTCGGATTCGTTTGCGTCAGTCTCATTTTGAGGCTCCAAATCCGTTTCCATCGATGAAACTCGAGAAAAGCTGACAGCATCTGCAGGCACAGAAGTCGCTTGCGCTGGGCTTCTTGAGGAAAGCGTAGTGTCTGCATCTGCCTGCCCCGATGCTGTGTGTACTTTCGGCTCCATTTGTGATTGTTCAGGTGCCTCGGTCTCTTGTTCAGTATATTCTTTCACGGCAGAGCTGAGGTGCTGCTCCACGTTATCCGTAGAATCATTTGAGATTGGATCTTGCTGGGTCTCGAAAACCTGAGGCACGGAACTCTGCTCACTGTCTTTGTTCTTCACAGTTGCTGGGCGTGACTCAACTTCTTGTGCATCTTGAGTTTCCACTCTGGGTAGAATAGGTGTGGACTGTTGATGAAGTTGCTGTTCCATCTCAACAGGCAAATGATGATAGTTCTGTTTAAAATGCTTCAGAAAATCGGCAAAGCCCTGGAAGCAGTAATCTCGCTTCTCTTCCAGCTCCTCAAGAGCAACAAGCACATCGGATGGCTGGCCTGTATGATATCTGTCCATGTTCGAAAGCTGGTCGTAGATTCTCCAACAAACGTTGACGAGTACTTCATCCTCCTTGAGGCGATATTTGACGCTCTCTGCAAACATGTTACCACTCTCGGCAGCAACTGTCACGTTGACTCCAATCTTGCAGATGGCCCTCAAGGCATTGAACTTGGTCGGAAGACTGCTCTGGCTGTCGACTTGGTCTGAGATCTTCTTGATTTCTGAGCGAATCTGGGCAGTAACCGATCCACTGATCTCGAGGTGAGCATCCTTCTGGTTATTGTTGTTGAGCAAATGGTTGACAAGACCGATCGAAGGCAAGAAATCGATGGTCGCTTGAGGGACTGGGACTAAGTTATCAACGTCTTCCTCATCTGAGTCAGAATCGTCTAACAACTCGACGACATCGAGTCTGGATGAGACTGGTGGCGGAACATGTTGAGTTGAAGGCGCTTGGACAGCTTGTTCGGTTCTTTGAAGTTGACGCTGTTGCATTTGTTGATCAAGTGCCTCGACCGCAGCATCCCTGTCGCGCCAGGCGATGGTCTCATCTCCTACTGCAGAACCAGCCTCAGATGCTGCTTGGGAAGGCAATGCCGTTCTCGTCTCTGTGAATGTACGAGCTCCATCTAGATCAAATGGACGGCTATACATGGCATTTTCGGGCATCGAAGGTTGATAAGATTCGTCCATCGCATCGATCTCTGACTCTTCTCCAGACTCTTCTTCGGTGTCAGGCAGAATGACCGGGTCGAAGTATCCTGTACCGTCAGATTCATCGTCAGCGCTGTCGTCATCACTTCTTGCCAACATCTCCTCGTCAAGCCCAGAGTTGTCGTCGTGCATCACAGCATCGTCTGCTTCATCTCCTTCCTCAAGATCATCGGCTGCTTCAACGCGGCCGTCGTCTCTAGCAGTAAGATCTTCCCTCGACTGCTGAAGAGCAGCCTCTTCTTGCTCAAGTTTACGTTCCAGGTAGTCCCAATCAGGTTCTTCGACGGCGCCTTCGTCATCACTCTGTTCTTGCAGAGCTACAATTTGGTCGGAGTTGTATGCAGACGACGCATCGTCCGATTCAGAATCTTCACTGGATGATTCCATATCTTCATCAGACTCGTCTTCGACAGAGCTCTCGTCATCGAACCTGTCACCTCTCGAGCGCCATACAACTTGGTCATCTGCAACGACTGGTGAAGAAGCAGCCACTAATGATCGACCAGGAGGCGCGCCTTCGCCCTCCTCCTTCTTCTCCTCATCATCATCATCATCATCATCATCATCATCATCATCCTCACTACTAGAAGACAGTACGACAGGGTTTTCTTCAGCGTAGCCATCATAGATATCTGCAACAACGCGAGGCGTTTGGGACGTTTCTTCTACTTGCTGATCTGATCCTTGCTGCGAGATCTTTGACTGAAGCTCGGAAGCTGGTGCCATTTCCTGAGCCATATCATCAACACTTCTCGCGTGAACAGCGGTCTCTGCTGCGTCTTCCAAGACTGTTTCATTTTCAGGGATTTGTGGATTTCCTGCTATGTTCGGAATGATTGGTGAAGATATCTTCTGAGCACTAGTCGGGCAAGGCGATGGTAAAGGCAGAGCCTCAGTGAGTAGTGGTTGCAAAATTGGGGTCGTAGGTCTGTCAACGGTGCGGGCACGCGCCATCTGTTCTAGAAGTTCACTCTCGGTAGGCAGTATAGTCAATCGCGGCAAAGCCGTAGATGGCATATCTTGAGATGTCGAAATCTGGAACTGAGAGATCACTGAGCTTTCCAAAGCTTGTGATGTCTCGCCCAGACTGGTATGTTCTGTTCTCGTAGTTTCTGCAGGCTGTTGAACCACTGCTTCAACCACACTCTCTTCTGACTCTTTCGCGTTAGAAGATTCTGCTGCAGAATTCAGAAAAGCTCCGGCTTCGGTCTTGTTCTGGAGTGGTCCATCCTCAGCAATCTCTATGGAATGGTCTTGTGAAACAGTCTCTTGAGCTGAATCTGTTGAGCTGCCATGAATGCTCCTGCTCTCAAAAGCATGCCGCTCGGCTTGGTGATTCGCGTCTTCGGTCGACTCAACTGCGTCCTGCATGCCCAGCTCTTTCCCGTGCATGGTCACATTACCATTTTCTACAGTGGTTTTCTCTGGTACTGCTGCTCCGGCAACCAAATCCTCGTCTGCATCAGCATCATCCAAGACATCGATCTGATCTTTCTCAGGAGAAGGTTCTCGGGCGTCAAACTTCCACTCAGAAACGTTCTTGTAAGACACTCTCCGTCTCTTTCGCGATGCTACAGTGTCCTGGTCATCGTCTTCTGATACGGCTACGTGCGAATATGGCGTGCCTCCTTCAGAGAGTCGGAGACGCTTCATAAAAGCTGGTGAAGAATATACGGCGACTCCATAGGCATCGAAAGAAGTGCGAGGCTTGGAACGGGCAACGGGCGTGCTCGGTGGTAGCATACTAGGCTTCGGTGACGTGTGCTCGGTGGACTCGTCCACATCGATTGTCCTCGGTTCGGTCTGGCCTCTTGTGATGATCATATGCAGGCGGTTCTTGAATACAAGCTCGCCATCGACACTTCTACCGGGCGTTTTGACCAAAGCTGTATCTGCTTCGGTCAACCATTGCACGCCTTCAAGCGCGACTTGCACGCTATCCCCAATACCAATGCCCGATGCAGCGATCTGGCGTGCACTTGGTCCAGTGAATCGCACGCGTACTTGGCCTTTTTGATATCGCTGTCGCGCGTCGGGATCGGCCAAGAGAAGAGCGCATTGCCCGGTCGTTGAGGAGAAGGGCCATAGTAGTGTCACCGATGCCTTGAACCCACAGTCGGTAGGCAATGCCGATGAAGGTGACAAAGATGATATATGCACTATTTCCATACTGTTCGCAACTCACAACATTGCTCGATCAGGAAAAATAGCACGATTGATGGTCCAGCATCGCGACGAAAGCTTCGTGAACAGTCGCACTCGGAGAACTAAGAATTCGAAGCTCTTTGCGGGGATGCCGTTCGGCAATGACGTTCCACCCTCGAAGGACACGTGAAATGCTAACAAAGAATAATTGCATGGGCACATGGTTGTGTCTAGCCACTCATTTCAGGATTCTCCCACTGCGATGTAAGACACTTCATGATCCATGGCCAAGTCCTGAGCAACGTCCAAAGGCAATGCATTCAGATATAAGAATGAAAGTTGATTTAATCAATACGTGAACGCCGGACACATCAGTCCGTGTCTGTATTTCGTGCTGAGAAACAAGCATGTGTATATGCTCAATGAATCATACAGTGATCGGGTCAGGTGCCAGAGTTGTTAGGGACATGATGTGACCTTGATAACGTCAAATGCTTGGTGCGGCAGGCGCCAATAGGTCTACCAGGTAGAAAGCTGCTGGTGACCATTCTGAGTCTTGTCGTGCCTGCTTCAATTCGCGGTGAAACTCGCTGGCAGCTTCGTCTAGCGTAAGATTTTTGGTTAGGTACGTCGTCGACATGTCTCGGTGCTCTCGGAACTACGCATCGTTAAGAGGAAGATCAAGGAAATCCTGGAGACTCTGCCGTAACAGTGCAGTGATACGCCATGGCAGCGACATGATCCATGGTCTTAACTTGCAGCCCCAGCTGATATCTGTAGCCCTAGAAGGATCATTTTGGCCCACTACCAAAAGAGTTGCTGATTCAGACGGATGCAGTCTAGACCAGGATACAGTCGATTCAAGACAACCACGCCAGAATGGCGCAATAGCTGAACAACAGCATGATAGCTAAGTAATATGCGGACAAGCAAGGTAGAGAAGGAGAGCGGAATTGTTCACAGCCAGAGGAACTCCTGGCCAGGCCCATTGCCAAGCCAGAACAAACGCGCCTTCCAAAAAGCCCGCTGGAGTCTATTTCAAATCGGAAATCTTCCACTATAGAACTCCTTTGCTCTCTTTGGAAACCGGATCTAAGTTCGTGCCCAGAGCATCGTAAAACATGTCAAGTGCAATGTATCGATAGCAGATGGATGAGACCAGAGTCGCTCCGACAGTGTTGTTTGCTGCTGTCATTATGCTACAATGAACATGCCACGTCTCGCAGGTTTTAGGGCACAATAACCTGGCTTGTGACTGGTGTAGTGCGGCTTGCTTAGAACAAGCAAGTCAGCCTTCGACAGCAAATCTCAATTGTGTACAGGGTATGGAGCCATGGATATGCGTAATTCGCTCCGTGGCTTAGTGACTACTTGATTGGAACCTGGGATAACCTTCAATTCGTTGCGATCCTTGAATGCGCAGACACATTGGTGCCCACGTTATTTGAAGGATCTGAACATCCCTATGGTTAGGACAGTGATGCGGCACCGAACCTGCAATCCCACATGCAGCATGTATGGCATAGGGCTCGTGTTCATATGGTACGAGAGCATATACTAATTGGTCTCTCAACTAGCCGGCAACAGTATGTTTTGTCATAATATACATGGGCATGATGAAAGGGTACAGCAATTCATCTCGGTCGCCTTGGAAGTAGCGCTGTGTTGCCAGTCCACGGACGGGTGCAGTTCTCTTAATCATTCGGCGCGGCTTGGATATCTGGAAAGACGAACGAGAGTGGCACAGCAAGATATGTATAGACCCGACCGTGTTACATGTAGACGCCTCACGGGTCTGGCATCCCAACATCCCCGTAAGCGGCAGAGGAACTGATAAAGTGTCAATATCATGTCACAGTCGGTAGGGCGGCGATAGTGCCTAGATGCAATAGTGGTGGGAACTTGCGGAGCTGGCAGCATTTGACCTTCACATGCTTGCTAAGAGTTGGCAAGGAAATCAACAACGATGCCGAAGCCAGATACGCGACTTGATCCGGCGTCAGGAAAGGAATCGAAGACGAATCAGATCGCGCGTTCGGAAGCTTTGTGTTACTGCTATCGTGAAGGAATGGACACAGAACCGCAAACGGGGATGCAGGCTGCAGAAGGAAAAAGCGCGCATATGGAGTGCAGTGCCTGACATGTACGAGGCGGTGGGGAATAGCTGTCAAACATGCCACGACAGGCTGCGCCGTACAGGATCGAATCGGTTGGTCGGAGGGCGAGGATGTTGTGACGATGGCGGTTGAGTGGTGGTGTGGGGAGTTGTCGTTGAATTCACATGTGAAGAAATGACATGTGAAAGTGAAGTGGTTGAAATGCAGGGAAAATGGGGAAAGTGACATGACATCGTTGCTTGTGAAAGGCAGGAGCACTGCAGCTGAGCTATTAGCTCGAGATAACACCACCAAAATGCCTGCTCCTCCTACCCATCTCACTTTGGCTGTTCATTCGGTCTTTAATCCCTCTTGACCTTTTGTCGTCTTCTGCCAGCTCGCCAGAAATCAGCCATTGACCATCGACAGTTCTACAAGATAACATCCTCAGAGTAAGTCTTTCACTTTCGCTGGTTGTCACTAACCCAACGAGTGCGCCATTGCACACTGTACATCCTTCCTTCCGACCGAATTGACATTCTCTCAACTGCAAGCAACCCTCCAGCTGACCATCCATCATCAGCAATAACCCAATGCCTCACGCAGAAAGCGACATGTCCAGCCCCGTCACTAACGGTGACAAGCCTCACTCCCAATTCTTCTCGGTGTGTTCGATACTAGAACTTGGCTGTGATGCTTTCACTGACCAAATTTAGCACTTAAAGTCTTACCCTGTCGTCAACGATGGCGTCGAGACCTTCATGAACAATCCCTATGGAGCCAAGTCTCTCGACATCGCCGACGCTGCGTACACCAAGCTTGGAAAGCCCGTCATGCCGTACCTGAGAACTCCTTACTCATACGCCGCACCATATGTGGCCAAAGCCGACAGTCTGGCCGACAAGGGACTGGAACAGGTCGACACCCGCTTCCCCATCGTCAGAGAGGACACGGTCACCATCAAGGACACGATGGTTAACTATGCTTTCCTCCCCTTCAGAGTCGCTGGTGAGGGCCGCACATACCTCATTAATACCTGGGAGGACCAGTACAACAAGACAGCAGCTCGCAACAACCGTGGCAATGGCTTGAGCACTAGCCTCCTGGCCATCATCTCGACTCAACTCAAGATCGCCGCTGATAGTGTCAACCTTGTTGCTGATTGGCTCGGTCCCAAAAGTGAGGAAGCCAAGCAGAGAGGCGACTCACTGTTCAGTAGTCTGTACAACAAAGCCGCATCATACGGAGAGCAGGCCAAGAAGAAGGCCAACGACGCCAACGACAAGGCCGAGACATATGCCGAAAAGGCCCAGGAAAAGTCAGAATATTGATCACATCCACATGATACAAGCTCTGATTCGATACCCTTTCTTCAGCCTTCCCGAATCTCACCACGAATACCCTTGGACCGTTCAGAACGACAACGAGACATCTACTGGTTGATGCTGATCCGAGAGAAAAGCCATGGTCCGCCGTCTTACATTCCTTTTCGTAATTGCTCCACCCTTGTGTATGTACTGTATCGTCCATAGAAGCTTCAGACTTAGATCCTGAATGCTTAATCGATTACATGATTTCATTGCATACAACCCCGTGAATAACCAGTGAACCTTTTCGTGCAACCCTTGTCTACCTCATGTTCAGTAGTCATCTTTGCTTGAATCTGGCAGTACATGAACCAGCAGCATCCGAAATGAATGTCAGCAGGCGTCTTGCTGAGTCGATCATGAGGACCGATTTCGAGGTAACGAGGTATCCAGTATCATGAAAGTAGGTGATGTTGGCAGCAGAGAGTATGTTGTAAACTGGCGGCAGGGTGATACTGCCAATAAGAATTGAGACAGGGTCACCCACCTATGATGTCATTACCATCTGCTACTTTGTGAATTGCAAAATGCCATTAAGAGGCATGGAAGCAAGGTTTTGCCTGAAAGCAGTAATAGCAAGAGAAGAGGCGGGTAGAGTGGTGGAGTTTGGCATGAAAATCAAGTAAAGCGCAAACGGAATCTGTCAAGGATTGGCATGTGAGCCGGGCCGAGCAGAGCGGCTTTGTTGATTGTTGGAGATTGACATGAATGGCTCGTCAGTCGTGAAATAATCATTGACCAACCATGCCGTGATGGCGAGAAACGCAATCCAACCGAGTTTCGACTTCTTTACGGGAGAAGAGCGGTCACCACCACGACAACCCCTGCGCGAGACTTTCCGCCAGTCCACAGCGACAGTTGCGCGCTCAGGTCAGTGTTGCGAGCCATCGAGACGCAGCTATGAAACTGAACAGCCAACACAGACATTGCCAATGAATCGTTACGCGCCCAGCTGAACACTCTGCAATACGAACTCGACTCGCTAAAACAGGAAAAGGAGCTCACCGCTCTCCAGCAAGCCAGCGAGATCCGCGATGCTGAGCAGCGCGCAGAGCGTGACTTCAAGAGAGCCCAGGCTGCAGAGACGGCCGCACAACAAAGCTCCAAAAAGCTCGATCAACTCACTCGCGAATTGAGCGATATCGAGAATCGACACACCAATGACAAGATCCAGCTGGAACGCAAGATCCGGACCCTACAGGACGACAACCAGAGCCTCAGAGAGGACCTTGAAGATGCCGAGTCGCGCCTCTCATCATCAGAACGAGAACACCAACATGGTTTGAACGACCTCGAAGCAAGACACGCAGCCTTGCAGGCTTCGTTTGAAGAAGCCCAAAGAGATCTGGAGTCAAAGGTCTCGACTCTGCAGTCAACACAACAGCGTTTGTCGCAACGCGAATCAGAGAATGGCAACCTTGAAAATGAGATTCTTCGACTCAAGGCTCAGACGGGCGACTCGGACACTCTGGCAATCATCAAGCGCGAGCTTTCTGAGCAAGTTGCACACATCAAGAGACTGGAATCTGCCAACCGCGACCAAACTTCCGAGCTCAAGCAATTGCGCAAAGCTCACAAGAGTGTCGAAATCGTCCAGGAAGAGAAGCGTGCTCTGGAACAGAAAGTCCGTGCCATGGAAGATTTGCGCAAGGAACTGGCCGAGGCACAATTGCAGAAGCAGATCCTCGAGGACGAGAAGCGTAGCTGGACGAGTTACTTAGAGAGCGAGGCTGCTGGAAGGGAAGAGATGGTATTTGACTCGCCAGAGGACATGGCCAAGGCTTTCGTAAACGAGCGCTTGGAGAGGATCACTTTGATGGAAAAGCTGGGCGCCTTACAGCCTGAACTGACTGTGCGTGATGATAACATCAAGACACTCGAAGACGAGAAGATTCAACTCCGCGCCGAAATCGAGAAGTTGAAGGAAGCCGGCACTTCATCATCAAACTCAGTTCCTGCCGATGCAAAAGCTCGTGCACGCCTCGAACGCCAAAAGAATCTGGCAATCAAGGAGGTCGAGTATCTTCGAGCTCAGATGAAGGCATTTGAAGCTGAGGAGCACGAGTTTTCACCAGAAACGTCGAACCAAGAGGAGAAAAAGCGTATCCAAGAGCTCGAGACACTCATTGATCAGTACCGCTCCGAAGTAGAGACACTGTCGGCAGAGATGAAGCAACTCGAAAGCAGCGCTCCTGTCGCTGCGCCGACGCAAACTCTGAAGCGTCCACATCCAGAAGAGTCAGACGAAAGGTTAGGCGAGCTGCGCCGTAAGGCCCGCACGCTCCAAGATGATCTGACAGCACTGCAAACCCGCTACGCGACCACCGAGACGGAGTTGAAAGCCAAGACGAGCCAATTGAATGCTCTGCGTGAGTCTTCACGGACGAGAGTGCTCGAGCTACGTGACAATCCGACCGCCCAAGCTGAAGGCATCAAAATGGCAACCATCCGCACACTGAAAGAAGAAAATGCGGCATTGCTGGAACAACTCGAAGGACGACCAAATGGTGCGACAAAGGTCGTCCCTATCAGCACGCTCGACCACGCCCGCCTTCAGATGAGCGAACTTGAAGCTACAATTGCTCAACGCGACAAGAAACAACAGCGTCTGAAATCAATCTGGTCTGCCAAATTCCTCGAGTTTGCAGAGGCCGTCGCAGCAACACTAGGTTGGAAAGTGGTCTTCCAACCGAATGGTCGCTTCAAGGTCACCTCTATCTTGTACCCGACGTCCATCAACAAAGACGGCGAAGAAGAGGAAAACTCCATCCTTTTCGACGGCGAGAAAGGCACTATGAAGGTGTCTGGTGGCACGGAAAGTGTATTTGCTAATGAGATACGTCCACTCATTGAGTTCTGGGTCGATGGAAGGAAGGAGATTCCATGTTTCCTGGCCGCTTGTACGTTGGAGTTTTACGACAAGACGACCAGAGCTGCGGAGATATAAGATCTGAATGTCATCCGAATTACATCACTATCATAACCATTTTTGCACTCCATTTCTCCGAATCCACTTTTCCCGTCTTCTATTTACCAGATGTTACTGTCGAGACAAGCCGTGTCAAGAGTGGCGTCGAATCGCTCAAAGCAGATGTATAGTTTCTTTGTTGAAAGAGCCTCAATTCTCGATGCAAGCCACAGTCTTTGTCAGTTCACATCTCCAGGCCGGAAACGCTTTGGACATTCTTCAAGTTGCCAGTTCTTTGTGTCCGAGAGCCTGTGGAATACTGATATTCTTCAACGTAATGGGGCGCGGCAATTGAGGATAGATTCACTGAAAGACGCGGCACGAGCAATATAGTGACCATACTTTAACGTCAAGAATTCTCTTGCACACACTTGTTTCAGTCCGCATACTTCATACTTTTGATCACCTTGGAGCAAACGACTAGGAAACGACAACCCACATTTACAAACGCTAGATCACTACTTACCATGGACGCCGAGGAGACGAAAGACTGCGACATATGTCTCTCTAGCTTGCCCACTCACTCCATATTGACCTGGGACTGCAAACAATGCAACTGGTGTTACGAGTGCATAACCAACGGCATAACTTCTGCACCTCAGAAGTCCGACTGGCCACAGAACTTTTGCGGACACGATAAACCCACTTGGATCTCTCTCAAGGCCATACTTTCGAAAGCTAGAAAACACATGCCTCCTCATGTGTACACCAAATGGTTCGAGAAACAGGAGCAATGGAGTCAGATAAAATGTCCTCATTGCTGCCGGTTCACTCATTCAGACCATATAGAGGAACGAGTGTTGTATTGCCCAACCTGTCACAAAAGCATCTGTATCGAATGCGAGAAGCCAGCTCACGAAGGCCAATGCGATAGATCGTCGAAGGAAGACCTGAAGGCGGTCCTGAATGCTCTCAGACACGAAGGTGACGCCATGTGTCCTCGTTGCAGTAGTGTTGCTGGACGCATGAAAGAGGGATGCGACCGCATTGTCTGCACCAAACCTTGTACACAAGTCTTCTGCTTCAAATGCTCCAAAGACTGGGAACTCTGTAAAGGCAAATGCAAAGGAGGTTCCACTGAGCTTTTGGCCGAGAAGGCCGAAGCGGAGGATCCGAGTATAGCTAAAGCCGTACTCAATGGACGGAAGGATACTATCCAGAAAGAGATGCAGCTTGTCGATCAAAACAACCTGACCAAGGAGAAATTGGAGAAGATCAAGGAGGACTACGCATTCTGTGTTTCGACCATCGATCAGGCTCTCCTGGATGGCAGTGCATCCTCGTATATCGTGATGTCTGATATCCAGCGTTTGGTGGATAACTTCATCATCACATTGCACGAGGCTCGTGGGATTCTTCTTCTGCCGAGAGATACATCCGATGACACAGCGCATACACATGAGGATGAAGAGATTGAGGAAGAACCTGCGTGTTCGGATGAGGAAGAAGAGGCCGAGGCACAACTCCGTGGAAGTAGAAAACGTGCCCCGACCGGCGATCCATTGCTCCACAGGCTGTTGAAGAAACCAAGACTCGAAATGGTCGATGACGAGGAGGACACGGATGATCTGGAAGCAGATTCTGACAGTGGTGAGGACAGGGTAGCTTACGACAATGAAGATGATGAAGGCGGATTCGATATAGACGGAGAGGATAGGTATAGATCTGATGACGAAGGCGAGGAACAGGACGATGAATTCGAGGAAGATCATCTTGAATGGTGAAATTCTCATTAGAAACCAGCGGTGGAGGTTTACCTCCATACCGTGTTTCTCTTGACATCTTGTTGACATGTCCGGCATTCGAGAAGGCAACAACGACGCACAATATCCGCTGTTGTAAAGATTAGCAACCTAAAGACATCTTTCTACATATGATCACCGCTGTCAGTCAGTTGAACTCATATACCCGATTTTTCATGACCAATTCTCGTCACAATTTCGTATGAATGATCGTTTCTCTGAGATGGATGAGATCGTGTGTATCGTGAGTAGAAAGACAGAAGGCGCCGTATAATGCATCCTAAGAAACTAAAAGAGACACCTCCCAATGCTTATGCAGTACCATCAATGCAACAAGTTAACCTATGAAACCAGCTGTGAAATCCGATCATCATCATCAATGTTAACTGCCGCCTGGATGGGCGTGTCCGCCACCACCTGATGAGGACCAAATTCTTCTTCATCGGTGCCAATTTCTGTCGCGATAGTCGGCAGAGTTGGTAAGACACCAATGGCCAAGCTCGTTTTGCGCTGTTGTCGAACAGATCTGTGCTGCTCTTGCTGACCGCCTACTTCAGCGACGCTGATTACGGGCAAGACACTTCGCGAAGATTTGTGACCGCTCAGAAACATGACCCTTGTACTGCTAGGGCCATCACTCGCGTCCGTAATACCATGTCTCAGAACTGTCGCCTGCCGTGGCAACTCCGGAGACGGTGCCTCGCATGCTTCGGCTCGAGGTTGCTTCGAAACGTCTCCCACTACTTTCCTGCCCTGCAGCTCATAATGTGGTAAAACACCCATATGCGACCTCATTGCACCAGTAGTGTTATCCAAGTCTTCTGAGAACCACGTCTGAATCCAGTTGCGCATTTTGTGCACAAAATGTCGGAACAGTGGCTGCAAGCAAGCCAGACTAGCCGCCGAGATTCCAAAACCAAGCTCCGTAAGGGCCAGCACAATCTCGGGAGCCGAATGGTCGTAAAAGCTAATGTGAGCAGACTGATTGAGATAAGCAGGGTTGAACCAGACAGCATGAGGGATATCTTGAGAAATATGGTTGAGAGCATGAACATCACCTCGCCGAGCGTCAATAACTGTATCTAGAATCAGTGGACGTGGTCTAAGAGCGGCTGTATGCTGGGACTTACTAGCAAGAACTTATCGGCCACAACCAACGTCAGGACTGGATTGTGATGTTCAAGCAACGCAGCATTCAGCGCTAGACAGCTCAGCAACATGTAAAAGAACTTGGGTGTTGAGTTAGCCATAAGACCATCCTGAAGCCGCATTGACTATTTCACGTACCCAGGCTGTCAACATGGAATAGTCATCGACAACAAGTTTCCGTTTCCCAATCCGTAATTTTGCCCATGATCTGAGGAACAAGCAGAAGGAGGTCAACGCCATGAACATTATGGTGACTCTGAATATCATACGCTTGAGGAAAGCACCTCCAGGCAACTCATCCCTTGTCACACTATCATCTGGAGGCATGACTTCAGGGTTGTCAAAAGAACAAAGCAGGGTCGATAAGGCATGGCCATGTCAAGCCCACAAAAGCAGTGCAATGATTGCGGATCTGCTCATAGATAAACAAAAAGGGAGCGCAATCGAGACCAATCCTGCTGGCCAAGTACACAATCAATTCGCGGTCCGCCATGAGTGAAGCCGTGCCGTTGAACTAACGTCGATGACGGATTCGTCAAAACGCTATTCAGCGGTCCGGCTTTGCATGCCCTACGTCTTCGAATAAACAAATCGCCCATTCTAGCACCGTAGAAATCTTTAGAGTGTGACGGACAAGCTGAGCAGCTGCTGGTTCTGCGATTTGGCCCTAAAGGAGGCCGATGTCTATGTTTCCGATGTTCGAGGTCGACGGGCTGTAGGAAATTGCGCGAGTCAAGACGGCGGCCACTCCGGTGCGTGGCTAACCACTAGTTAGCGGTTTCCAACCATATCGCGACAACTCTGTAGTTTTCTGGCGGTGGTGTCGCAGGTCGAATTAGCATAATGCCTACTCATTTTGCTCGGGTGAGGAGCGAGGCACATGCTACAGCAAACGGTCAATGTCTCTCGACCATGATCTTAGACATGCCACATGGCTTATCGATGTACAGATCGCATGTACCGAACGTTGGGGAAATGTGGAAGGATTCAGTGGCGGAAGTGTAGTCTGGCCGAACCTGATTAGAGCATGGCAGCCGATTCTCGCTCCAATCCTCCAATTCTCAGATCTATGTCCCTGACGAACCATGATACAAAGAGCATGGGAAGCATTTCTGATCGGGTTCATCTTTTGCAATTGCGTGACGAGGCGTTTGTATGCTAGACTGTTCACTCGAGAATTGAAAATATCGTAAAAGCCTCGGCTTCGCGTCCATCGCCAGACATCGCTGGGGACTGGATACACAGCACATGACAGCTTGTAGGCTTGGTAATAACCATGCGATGAGAGGCGCGCCTCTGTCAAACATGCAAAGAGCTAATTGCATTAGGTGAAGATCCGTCATAGGTTGGCAAAAGGATGATAAAGTGTAGCTGCAGAAGATGTTCAAATCAGCTTCAATGGCGTTCTCCTGATACCAGCAGAGATATGGCTCATGTAGCGACTCTTTGCATCAGGTCTCTGTAGTCTGCGAAAAGCCTCGGTGATGTGCTTGGTATTGACAGGAGTTCTTGCCTCTTCGGGTGGATCGAACAAGCCGGGTTCTCTGCGGATCCTTTTTCGTCGTTGTTGGTCCTCATCGCCGCCGCTCTCGCGTCGCTGTATATCCTCGGCATTCTTGACGCGCAGAGCTTCTTCAGTCAGAGTCTGGACAATTTCAAATGTCAAGAAGCCGAGAATGTCAACGATATCATCGTTTGGCTTGCTGTCAGTCACGACACCGAAACCGGCCCATTCGCGGAAGCGTTTGCCTTTGCGAAAAGTAAAAGAGGCTTGACGGCATTCACTCCAGTGTAGGTATTCTTCGGGAGTCATGTTCTTTGTGCGGTCGTCTGCGTTTTTGAGACGAGTCATTGTGGCAGTTGTCATTTCTTCTTCGTCTTCGTCTTCCTCATCCTCTCGCTCGGGAACTTGCTCTTGGTAGAAACTTGAGACGTCCCATGGGAGACCTACTTTTGCCTTTTTGGTCTTTGAATTCCTAGTACCGACCGAGGGGCCAGCAGTAGCCAAGGTAGGATCGTTGGCGGGGCCGACATCAATATCAGCAAAGTCGTCACCTCCTCCGGCACCACCGCCGCCCTTGTCGTCTGAGTCCTTTGCAGATTTGCGGACGTCTTTCCAACTGAGGAAGGTGCGTAGTCTGGAGACTTTTGCGCGGTCGTGACGGATGAGAAAGATGAGGTCGTCGGTGTTGATGCTGCGGACACCGCGACGGGCAGCCAGGGCGGTTGCGCGGGTGAGCATTTCGACGACTTGCTGCTGGACAATGGCTTCGATGAGGGTGGTTGTTTCAGGGGCAGCTTCGGCCGTCTCTCCAGAGACAAACATCATCTGCTGGATCTCTGTGCGGTATTTGGCGGCCTTGTCTTTGTCGGCCATGGTGAGAGTGGGGGGGCGGGTTTGAGGCTGATCAGGGTGTCGCGTCGAGAGATTGGATATATGGCTGCAGAGCGGGTACGATGTTGGATCGGACAGGATAAAAAATTAAGTATAATAAAGCGTCAATGTCGCATGGTGAAGATGAGTGTTGTTGGTGGATAAAGACAAAGGTCACTTGGTTGGCGGTGGATGATGGACGATGGATGATGGATGATGGACAGATCG